CGTCGCTTAAGTGAACATGTATTTACACTTGCCTGCTTTGTTTAGACTTGACTGCTTTGTTTACACTTGACTGCTTTGTTTACACTTGACTGCTTTGCTTACACTTGACTGCATCGTTTAAGTTATTTACACTTGACTGCTTTGTGTACATCTGACTGCTTTGTTTTCAGCTAACTGCTTCGTTTAAGTTAGCTGCTTCGTTTAAGTTAACAGCTTGGTTTACACTTGACTGCTTTGCCTACACTTGACTGCTTTGTTTACACTTGACTGCCTCGTTTAAGTTAACCGCTTTATTTACACTTGACTGCTTTGCTTAAACTTGGCTGCTTTGTTTTCAGTTGACTGCTTCGTTTAAGTTAACTGCTTCGTTTAAGTTAACAGCTTCATTTACACTTGACTGCTTTGTTTACACTTGAATTGCTTTGTTTACACTTGACTGCTTCGTTTAAGTTAACAGCTTTTTTTCCACTTGACTGCTTTGTTTTCAGTTGGCTGCTTCGCTTAAGTTAGCAGCTTTGTTTACACTTGACTGCTTTGCTTACACTTGACTGCTTTGTTTACACTTGACTGCTTTGTTTACACTTGACTGCTTTGTTTACACTTGACTGCCTTGTTTACACTTGACTGCTTTGTTTACACTTGACTGCTTTGTTTACACTTGACTGCTTTGCTTACACTTGACTGCTTTGTTTACACTTGACTGCTTTGTTTACACTTGACTGATTTGTTTTCACTTGCCTGCTTTGCTTTCAGTTGGCTGCTTCGTTTAAGTTAACTGGATTATGTAAGTTAACAGCTGTTTTTACACTTGACTGCTTTGTTTACACTTGACTGCTTTGTTTCGGTTAACAGCTTTATTCACACTTGATTGCTTTGTTAACACTTAACTGCTTTGTTGACACTTAACTGCTTTGTTTACACTTGACTGCTTTGTTTACACTTGACTGCTTTGTTTACACTTGACTGCTTTGCTTAAGTCAACAGCTTTGTTTACACTTGACTGCTTTGTTTACACTTGACTGCTTTGTTTACACATGGCTGCTTTCTTTACACTTGACGGCTTCGTGTAAATAAACAGAATTGTTTACACTTGACTGCTTTGTTTACACTTGACTGTTTCGTTTAAGTTAACAGCTCTATTTACACTTAACTGCTTTGTTGAAGTTAACAGCTTTATTTTCAAATGACTGCTTTGTTTACACTGGACTGCTCTGTTTACACTTGACTGCTTTGTTTACACTTGGCTGCTTCGTTTAAGTTAACTGCTTCGTTTAAGTTAGCAGCTTTGTTTACACTTGGCTGCTTTGTTTACACTTGACTGCTTTGTTTACACTTGACTGCCTCGTTTAAGTTAACAGCTTTATTTGCACTTGACGTCTTTGTTTAAAATTGACTGCTTTGTTTTCAGGTGACTGCTTCGTTTAAGTTAACTGCTTCGTTTAAGTTAACAGCGTTGTTTACACTTGACTGAATTGTTTAAGTTAACAGCTTTGTTTAGACTTCACTGCTTTGTATACACTTGGCTGCTTTGTTTACACTTGACTGCTTTGCTTACACTTGACTGCTTTGTTTACATTTGACTGCGTTGTTTACACTTGACTGCTTTGTTTACACTTGACTGCTTTGATTACACTTGGCTGCTTTGTTTACACTTGACTGCTTTGTTTACACTTGACTGCTTTGTTTACACTTGACTGCCTTGATTACACTTGACTGCTTTGTTTACACTTGACTGCATTGTTTTCACTTGACTGCCTTGTTTACACTTGACTGCTTTGTTTACACTTGACTGCTTTGTTTACACTTGACTGCTTTGTTTACACTTGACTGGCTTTGTTTACACTTGGCTGCTTTGTTCACACTTGACTGCTTTGTTTAAGTTAACAGCTTTGTTTACACTTGACTGCTTCGTTTAAGATAACAGATTTATGTACACTTGACTGCTTGATTGACACTTGACTGCTTTGTTATCAGTTGACTGCTTCGTTTAGGTTGACAGCTTTGTTGTCGCTTGACTGCTTCGTTTACGTTGACAGCTTTATTTACACTTGACTGCTTTGTTTTCAGTTGACTGCTTCGTTTAAGATAACAGCTTTGCCTACACCTGACTGCTTCGTTTAAGCTAGCAGCTTTGTTTACACTTGACTGCTTCGTTCAAGTTAACAGCTTTGGTGTCAGTTGACGGCTTTGTTTACACTTGACTGCTCTGTTTTCAGTTGAGTGCTTCGTTTAAATTAGCTGCTTCGTTTAAGTTAACAGCTGTGTTTGCACTTGACTGCTTGTTTACACTTGACTGCTTCGTTTAAGTTAACAGCGTTATTTACACTTGATTGCTTTCTTTAAGTTCACAGGTAAATTGAGACTTGACTGCTTCGTTTAAGTCAACACCTTTATTTACACTTGACTGCTTCGTTTAAGTTAACAGCTTTATTTACACTTGACTGCTTTGTTTACACTTGACAGCTTTGTTTTGAGTTGACTGCTTCAATTGAGCTAACTGCTTCCTTTAAGTTAGCAGCTTTGTTTACACTTGACTGCTTTGTTTGAGTTAACAGCTGTTGTTACACTTGACTGCTTTGTTTACACTTGACTGCTTCGTTTAAGTTAACAGCTGTATTTACACTTGACTGCTTTGTTTTCAGTTGACTGCTTTGTTTGAGATAACTGCTTTGTTTACACTTGACTGCTTTGTTTACACTTGACTGCTTTGCTTACACTTGACTGCTTTGTGCTCAGTGCACTGCTTCGTGTAAGTTAACTGCTTCGTTTAAGTTAACAGCTTTGTTTGCACTTGCCTGCTTTGTGTACACTTCACTGCTTTGTTGACACTTGACTGCTTTGTTTACACTTGACTGCTTTGTTTACACTTGACTGCTTTGTTTACACTTGACTGCTTTGTTTACACTTGACTGCTTTGTTTACACTTGACTGCCTTGTTTACACTTGACTGCTTTGTTTACACTTGACGGCGTTGTTTAAGTTAACAGCTTTGTTTACAATCGGCTGTGTTGTTTACACTTGACTGCTTTGTTTACACTTGGCTGCTTGTCTATACTTGACTGCTCTGTTTAGACTTGACTGCTTTGTTTACACTTGACTGCTTTGTTTACTTGACTGCTTCGTTTAAGTTAACTGCTTTGTTTACACTTGACAGCTTGATTTGCACTTGACTGCTTTGTTTACACTTGACTGCTTCGTTTCAATTAACAGCTTTATTTACACTCGACTGCTTCGTGTAAGTTAACCGCTTTGTTTACACTTGACTGCTTTGTTTAAGTTAACAGCTTTATGTACACTTGGCTGCTTCGTTTATATACGTTAAACGATTTATTTACACTTGTCTGCTTTGTTTACACTTGACTGCTTTGTTTACAATTGACTCCCTCGTTTCAGTTCACTGCTTTGTTTACACTTGACTGCTTTGTTTACACTTGACTGCTTTGTTTAAGTTAACAGCTCTGTTTACACTTGACTGCTTGGTTTCAATTAACAGCTTTATTTACACTTGACTGCTTCGTGTAAGTTAACCCCTTTGTTTACACTTGACTGCTTTGTTTAAGTTAACAGCTCTGTTTACACTTGACTGCTTTGTTTCAGTTAACAGCTTTGTTTACACTTGACTGCTTGGTTTCAATTAACAGCTTTATTGACACTTGACTGCTTCGTGCAAGTTAACCGCTTTGTTTACACTTGACTGCTTGGTTTCAATTAACAGCGTTATGTACACTTGACTGCTTCGTGTAAGTTAACCGCTTTGTTTACACTCGACTGCTTTGTTTAAGTTAACAGCTTTATGTACACTTGGGTGCTTCGTTTATATACGTTAACAGATTTATTTACACTCGGCTGCTTTGTTTAAGTTAACAGCTTTGTTTACACTTGACTGCTTGGTTTCAACTAACAGCTGTATTTACACTTGACTGCTTCCTGTAAGTTAACCGCATTGTTTACACTTGACTGCTTTGTTTAAGTTAACAGCTTTGTTTACACTTGACTGCTTTGCTTAAGTTAACAGCTTTGTTTACACTTGACTGCTTGGTTGCAATTAACAGCTTTATTTACACTTGACTGCTTCGTGTAAGTTAACCGCTTTGTTTACACTTGACTGCTTTGTTTAAGTTAACAGCTTTGTGTACACTTGACTGCTTTGTTTAAGTTAACAGCTTTGTTTACACTTGACTGCTTGGTTTCAATTAACAGCTTTATTTACACTTGACGGCTTCGTGTAAGTTAACCGCTTTGTTTACACTTGACTGCTTTGTTTAAGTTAACAGCTTTGTTTACACTTGACTGCTTTGTTTAAGTTAACAGCTTTGTTTACACTTGACTGCTTGGCTTCAACTAGCATGTTTATTTACACTTGACTGCTTCGTGTAAGTTAACAGCTTTGTTTAGACTTGACTGCTTTGTTTAAGTTAACAGCTTTGTTTACACTTGACTGCTTGGTTTCAAATAACAGCTTTATTAGCACTTGACTGCTTCGTGTAAGTTAACCGCTTTGTTTACACTTGACTGCTTTGTTTAAGTTAACCGCTTTGTTTACACTTGACTGCTTTGTTTAAGTTAACAGCTTTGTTTACACTTGACTGCTTGGTTTCAATTAACAGCTCTATTTACACTTGACTGCTTCGTGTAAGTTAACCGCTTTGCTTACACTTGACTGCTTTGTTTAAGTTAACAGCTTTGTTTACACTTGACTGCTTGGTTTCAATTAACAGCTTTATTTACACTTGACTGCTTCGTGTAAGTTAACCGCTTTGTTTACACTTGACTGCTTTGTTTAAGTTAACAGCTTTGTTTACACTTGACTGCTTTGTTTTCAGTTGACTTCGTCGGACCCCAACTTTGGGCTTGGCTCGTTTGCTGCATCTCCCCACGACCATCCCACCAGCCCTGTCTGAGACACAACGCTTGCCATCCGCCCAGCGTAATGTTTGTAGATGTGCTGCATGATGTGCTTGGATGTGCTTGGATGTGCTTGGATGTGCTTGGAGGCAGGCCAAGCTTTGCTCTTCGTCGTCATCCCCCACTGTGTCATCGTATTGGGCTTGATCGGCCGCCTGCAACCGAGAAATAAACACCGCACATGAATCATGTTACAGGCAGTGCCTCCTCGTATCTCCGCGCCGTTGCAATGAGCCCCCTGCGGGAAATCATTCCTCGAAACCTGGGATTTCAAGAGACGACCACACACCTTCGACACCTTGGCCCTGAGTTGGAGGCTCGCCCTTCTCTGAGATGACGCACGCGGCTTTGGCACCAGCCTGCCCGAAAATGCAGAGAAGCGCCCGATGCCCGAGTCATGTGCTGTGCAATCTGTGCTACCCACGTGCTGTGCGGCATCCAGTCCTTTGCAAAGAGTGCATAGAGCCGCGGCCCCGGCATGTCCTGGGATCGGTTCGCCAAATACCGTAGAGCTCCGCAGAGCCTTCCGTTCAAAACTTCTCTGCCTCCAGGATGGTGTACGGAGCTCGTTCGGTGAGACGCTTGACTGGCAGCACGTTTCCGGAGAAGCTGGACTCCCTGGAGCGACGCAAGAACCCAAGAGCCCAAGAGCCCAAGAGCCCAAGAGGCCAAGAGCCCAAGGTGGGCCAAGAGGCCAAGAGCGACACCTTGCGACTGTGGCAGAGATCAGCTTGCCCATCTGCTCGCCGCCAGCATCAGACACAGCCTCTCCAGGAATTCTGGTCCCGTGTGCGCCGCCGGTGCAGCGTGCCTTTTTGTGCGGCGCCCCAGTGTTGATGGACCCTGTGTTGATGAAGCCTGATGCCTGCAGGGCAGACTTTGCCAGGATTCAAACGGCCTTGTCTCTCCATATCTCTCCTGCCAGACTTCAAGAGCAGCTTGCAGTCGCGCTCGAGTTGTGAAGCCTCAGGTGAGCTTGGCTTGCAAACGCCACACCAACATGACAGCCCCCGCCGATGCAGTAGCCGTCTTTCAGCACAGGAAAGCAATCCACCTCACTCACACACACCCTTCACTTCTTTCACCTCCGCTGGGTAATCTCTAGCCTTGTCCTGCTGCAGGGCCAGCTGGATCGCGTTGTAGTCGGCCTGTCGCATTTCACCCCCAGGCCCGTGCAAGCTGAACTTCTGAACCCCGCCTCTGGCTGAAGCGCGGCTTCAGGTGGCAGGTCGTCCCGCAGGTCCAGGGCCACCACACGGTCCATGAGGCGTGGTGGCTCCGGCTGGCGCGACAAGGACGGCCCGGACTTCACAACTCACAAGCCAATTGAGTTCCGACGTCTCAAGCCGTGGCAAGGCACGGGCAGGAAAGGAATCGCTTTCCTGAGGATTTGCTCCTGTGCAAGCTTCAAGGACATTCGCCTCAAATGTGCGAAGTCTGCCTCATCGAAGCCCCTTTCGTTGATCAGCTTATTCAGGAGCAACGAAAGGGTGACCTGAGAACGTTGAGCGGAACCTCACGAAGCCAGCAAACTCAGCTACCAAACGCAGGGCAAAGAGTAAGACGCGTGCTGCCAGCATTAGGGGAGGGATCAGCCCAAGGTCGTTGGCTGCTCCTAGTCAGCGCTTGCCGACCCAAGGCGGGCCCAAGGCGGATCTGGGATCTTGGTCCTGTGATGAAAACCACAACTGCCACCGCCATCTGCTTAAAGCCCGCCAGCATCGAGGCACTTCCAACCATTGCATAGACTCCGGACCTGCAAGCACAGCACTGAATCTGCACATGTTGCAAGGCAGTCTCAGGCCGGGACACGGCCATTCCCGGCCCGTAGTCTCGCACAAGAGCACCCATCATGCGGCCAACTAGCCTGACAGCCAGGTGTGGGACGGTCCTCGAATCCTTCCTCTGCATGCCCGTCAGCTTTGGCTCAGCCCGGCGCCCTCCTATCAGCATGGAGCCGGTAAAATTCCCTGAGGGAACAGGCACGCCTGCGGCAAACGGTCAGCCAACAACAACAAAGAAACGCACCGTTGGCAACTGGGAAAGCGCCTGTGAGACCGATGTTCAGAGCTGTGTATGACACAAAGGCGAGCAGCTCATTCCTGCCACTTCAAGTCTGATAGCCTTGAGCTTGTAATGACTACAGACGCCAAACAGCATCAGTGCACCCACCTGAAGTGGATCTCGTTGGCATCATGCCTATGCAAATGAATTGAATTGGGGAGGACGCTGTCAAGAGTTCCTCTAACAAGCCTTGAAAAAAGTCGCTTCACTGCTCCCTCGGATGTTGTCAGCAAAAGCGACGCCACCGGATTGTACTTGCCCTCCTGCACAAGCTGGCGTGTCAAAAGCTTAAGCCGCAAGGCCCTTGCCTCGCAATCGTAGCGAACAAACTGTGCCGCATCTTGAGCGGTATGTTTGCAGTTGGCCTCGCAACGCACATGACAAAATGGCCCAGGCTGACAGACGGGCTTCCCTACCCAAAACTGTCTCAGGCTGGCACCAACAAAGCCACCAGCGAGTACGTCCTAAACGCTTGGCGGCATGGGGCCACAGGCATTGAGGCAATGAAGCCAAGGCGCAACGCCACAAGACCGCCATAAAGCACCGCATCCGCCATCTTGTTGTATGGCTGGTATGCGGACAAGCGCTGCATGAGCGTCTGCCTGCGGAAAGCCACGATCGCTGGCCACAGCCCGTCCCACAGGCCCTTGCGAGTCCGATTGCTGCCTGACGCTGGCGACAGCCAGGCAAGCCCTGGTGTGGAAGGCACTGAAGGGTCCCATCAGCAAGGCCTTGGCCACTCCGAACATCTCCGAACAAAGCTTCAGCAACACGGCTTCAGCGTTGCCGGGCTCGCACTTTTTGTGGAAATGCCTTGGCAGCTTTGTGCCCTAGCTGTCCTTTACAGCAGTTTTCGGCATCGCCCAGTCAGGATAGATGCAGTCCAGCTCACACATGAAGCCTCAGCAATGTTAACAACAGACAGGTACCTAGAAACTTGACTGAGGGTACGGCAGAACTCGCTTTCCATAAGCCTCCAATGCGCTACCATAACAAACCCTTCCTGAAGTAGGCTGCCCAAGCCTGGAATCACAATCTGCACTTCTCAAAAACCATGGCGCTGAATGAGCCCAGCCTCCATCAACTTCCCACAATACAACGTCGCCCTGAGAGGATTGCCCCAAACCACACTGAAAGCCACCACGGCGGCTTGCCAACACACGGCAAGCCCCGGAAACAGCCACTTCCGTCGCGGTCTCTGCACTCTGGATGGACGCAACTGTCGCATTGAAGGCCAGGATTTGCGTTCTGCTTGAGTCCATCGCAGGTTGAACCGCCATCAGTTGCACATAGCACCACCCGAACCTACTTCCTGCAATGGGATTCCTGGTGGGGGGGCAGCAACCATGAAAAACAACAAAAGCAAGATGCTCAAACAACATGATGTTGGTTAGGATGCTTGAGCGCCTGTTTGCAGTTTAACGACACCAAGCTGGCCCTGATAACACGAAGCAGCTGCAATCAAATATGTGTGTCTCTCGGCCGTTTGGCTTCGCTGTGCTTCGAAGGTGAACCCCCGTGCTTGTCAAAGGGCATGAGCGACTTGAATGATACAATTCAGAGCAGACTTCAATTGCCGCTCAGAGCATCGAACAAACTGCGCCAGGCGCGTTGGCGTGAACCAAGGCCCAAGTTGCTGGTCCCAGTAGCTTCTTCGACGTGGTCTGAGCTGCCTTTGCTGCGCGCAGCCAACATTGCCCCATGGCACAAGTTGCAAGTGTAAAAGCCGCACGCCTCCCCTCTGCAGCTGGGCAGCTCAGCGCTTTCAAGTGCACTATGCTGAGAGCCTGTCCAGGGGTCTTGGCACTCTGCCCTACTGCTCACAACTCTCTGTGCCCGCCGGCATCGTGACCACATCTTGCACCATGAAGGGGCCATGAAACGAGCCCAGGCTCGAGCCATCTTTGGCAGTAAGCGCCTCAGCCAAACTTTCGACAGCCCGGAATTCATGCACGATGTACAAATCACGGCTAACCCATGCAAACAAGATCAAATACATGTCAAACATGTGGTTTAAGTCGTCGAGCCATGTTAAGCCATGAGCCTTCATATCCGCCCATGCCACTCCGTGCCGTGATTCGAAGAGCTCCTGCCCCTCTTGTGATTGCCAGGGGTTCAGGCCTCAACTGCGGGGTATGCCAAGCGCAACGGCGCAACGAATAAGATAGGCGCGGCCCAGCTCCTCCTCCGAGCCCTTGCCGAGCCGAACGCCCGCACCCCAATATGCCTAGATTCCCCAATGCCCAAACCATGCGAAACCATGCCTGCAAAATGCGAAGAGCCCTGGCATCATTCAGAGCTCCAGGCAGCAGGCGCTGCAGCCGATAACATGCAGGAAGGCTTCCTCGCAATGCCGCAAGATCCGCAAGATCCGCCAGGCAAAGCATCTCTTGAAGTGACAAACTGAGCTCTGCACGGATTGCCTTCCCACATGCTTGGCTGAGCTCCTGTGCGACGGACTGGCAAGTCAGCCAGCGCTGTCTGGACATTAACTGGTCGGCCTGGAAATCCCGCTGTCGCAGCCCATGATGCTTTGCAATCATCATAGTCATGCGGAGCGCGAGGCTTGACGCAGCGGTCAAGTCTGCATCGACTCCCTCCTCACAGAGCAGAGCAGTCAAGCCGTCAGGCAATCAAGATCAAAGCCTCGATACCGGAAGCAAGCAAGTCCGCCTCGCTGCCAAGAATCTCCTGGAAGCCCTGAGGCTCATGGCGTGCGAGGAACTTTGGAAGCAAGCCCAATGATCCAAGCTAACAGTGCCTCGTGATCAAAGTCTTTGACCAGGAACCGTCCCAAGAAGTCTTGCACGTGGAGAAGGGCGTCGCTGCAGTTGTGAATGCCTTGCAGCAAGACAAGCCGGCAAAAGATAAGTGAAGAAGAGCGGCTCCCAAGCCAGACATGAAACAATGAGTGATCCCAGGGCTTCAGCCTGCCAGAATGTTTGCTGCAAAGCTGCCATATGCTGTCTCGAACCTGATGTCAACTCGTGAGATATTGTTGCTTGAAAGTGCAATGCCCCATTTCCACCAAGCAGCACGTCTAGAAATAGCCGGCTCCGGTCATTTCCATCTTCCAGAAGCCGTCGGATCTGTTGCCAGTCATCAAGTTCTCCTAGCAAAAAGATGTTTTTTATCCTCATCTGCAACGTGGCGTGGACACTGACGCAGCTCTAGAGAGGCAGGCGGAGAGCGCTCCTGCTTCAGCTGCAACACCCGCCATCACGCTAGGAGCAGGTAGCAAGCATGCCGGCGTCTGGCTCCAGCTGCAAATGGCCCTTTGATGCCCATTGGGCTCACAGTGTGTTCAAGTTGATGCTGACTGGCACGTGTGCTGGCCCTTTTGCGCATGGGAGGAGCTGCGCCTCTATACTAATCTGGGCCACAGCAAGCTCGCGGGAATTGCATGCCAGGATTGTTTTTTGAGAAGCATCGGTGAAGCATCGGTGGGTGCTAAGGTGCTGGCCAGCAACATGAAGAAGGGAACGTCGTGCCTCGGCCGAATCCTCTTGAGGCTCGAAGGGGTCTGCATTTTTGACTATTTTAGACAGGTGGCCAGCTCCACCCTGTTGGCTGCGGGTTCCACTCGTAGATCACAAACGCCTTGCAGCCAGGAGGAGCCCTCTTTGCAAACATATGCAAACAGATTTCAGCAATGCGCCTTTGTGGAGGTACCACACATGTTCAGAAGCGCTCGGGATACCAGCGCACACACCGAAGTGCCGGCAAATGCCCGGAATGTTACCTGACGGTCTGCACTTGCCTGCGCACAGCATGCAACACAGGAGCCTCAACCGGCCAGGAGGAGGAAGTGATCTCCTCAAACATGTACACCTCAGGCCGGACGGAGCATAGGATCGCCAAACATGCAAGGGGCAAAAATACTGCGGGCCAGGCAATGCCGCCGATTGGGGAGTCAAACAACATTGCCTGCATTGGCTCATGCTCATCACTGCGCTTTCTCTCTTGGTTCCCTTCGCTTTCTCTCTTGATCTCTCTTGGTTCCCTCGAGCGACAGCACAGCTGTTGAGGCAACGGCCATTCCGCAAGCCCCACCAACTGTACAAACAATGCGCTTGGCATGCTCGAACCGGTCCTGCAACGATGATTTGCACGTATCCATAAGATGCTGTGGGCCGAGCTCGCTCCTCATCAATCATGGTGGCGGCAGAAGTGGCCGAGCCAGGTGCGTCAACGTCTACCCATTGACCTTGGTGACAGGCGCAGCCTTCTCCACGCCCAGTGCTGGGGAGCAAAGCAGGACAGCACAAGGACGGGACGAACAAATGGCAGCGCAGCCACGTGTGTGATCAAGTACGCTAAGTTGCTTCCCATGGTGACCTCAGACAAGGGTATAATATTACTAAAGTTGCAAACCATGAGGCTCCCGCAGTCGGCCCCTCGCGCCCTACTGGGTAACCAGTGACCTGCCGGATGCGGGTCAATTTCTCCAAGTCAGCACAAACTGACATCCCACATTGGCCAGCATCGTGGCGATGGCCCTCCCAACGAGGTTCTGCAAGGTAAATAGCTCTGGCATTTCGTTCCTCGAGGCTAGCTCAATGAAACAGACATGCTCGAGCATGGACATGTGTGCCTTCGAGTCTGGGGGACGGGCCCGTTGAGAAATCCTTTGTTCTCAGGTGCTCCGGAGCCACCAGCCGCAGGAGCGCAGGTGAAGATGAAGAGGGTGCAACCTCCAGCGACGCGAGTGACACGAGTGCCCGCTTGCGCCCGCTTGTTGGGCAAACTCAGCGGCCCAGCACAGCGCTAGGCAAGAGCAAATCCCCGTGAACCTTGCACATGCGAACCGCGCCCGGCCCCCGTTCTCACTCTTCGCCAGGCTCCGCGCCCCAAAATGGCAAACCATACGCCAAACTTGTCGACCATGAGCTGGCAGTGGCAGGCAACTTCTAATGAAGGCGAAAAACTGACGCATGGCGCAGTGCTGGTCTTTGCAGTTGGGCTGAGCTACTGCTTGGCAACCAATCTTTTCACCAGCTAGACGAACGCCACAAACCTGCCTGGAGCGTGCTGAACTTCCACTCCACCGCAAAGGAGATTATCCAAATAGTGAAGAAATTGATCACTGCCATGGTGACGGCCGTTACCAAAGTGATACTCCACCTGAAGAAGCTGAAATGTTAGACAAAATGCAGCCCAATATGCTTTGCCAAGGCAAGGCTAGGCCAACCGCATGACTCCAAAGGGCAGTTTGTGCGTCTGCGGACCGCTCGTCCTAAAGCGGCAACAGAAAGAAAGTGCATCATGCCACACATACCCCTGGGCACAGGGCTTGATGCGCCGCAAACCGCGCATGGGAGTTCCTCACATTTGCAACGGAGGCCATCAAGCCGACTTTTCAAAGTTCCACACCTGAGCCCGTCTTTCGCGGAGCGCCATCCTTCGCCAAGCCAACAGCCACCAGGACATCCTAGCGACTCCCAACTCAAATCTTTGCGTGGTGCAGGGTGCTCTAGGATCGTCATGCCTCGCCCGTCCTGAAAGCAACCATCATCATGAAGCCCCCGTGCCGAATGCAGTGACATGTCCGGCTGCCAGTGAGAATTCCTGCATGCCACGTGCTCAAGTCGAGTGCGGTTCGTCTGGGAGAGTGTTTTGAGGGAGGGCACCCTTCCTGGGGTTTCAAGACTTTCATACGTTAGGGTTGGTTTATAGGGAAACCAATTGACACATACCCAGCTCCGTCCACCCGCCTCAGTGACAATGGGCCATGCCGGACAGCTGAGCTAAGTGCTGATCGAGAAATCTGTTTAACTGCTCAGCAGTCCTTGGCGTGTGATTGTTGAACTCTGCAGCTCAATGCCTGGCCACCGTCTATAGCCTGTTCCTGCGGCTTTTTGCTAGTTGCCACTTGCGTGCTGGTCTTGCTGCTGCCTTGAAACGAAGAGCCAGGCAGAGGCTTACTGCAGGACTAACTGCAGCAAGGCTCACATGACTCACAGCTTGCAGTATCTTGCTTTGAACCTGCCCCCGACAGGAGGGAAAGAAACACCCCCGCAGCACGCGATACAAAGACACAACATGGGACACAAACGGATACTGCCGCAGCAAGAATCAATGCAGCATGCGGAGCAACGGAGAAAGAACGAATACAATGTTCAATTTGGGAAGAAAGGATCAGCGCAGTAAATGGAAGGCAGCCATTTCACAACAAATACCGCTGCAGGGCGGCAGCATGGGAGAGAAAAAGACGCCGCTGCAGTTTGGGAGACTGCCAAATGTCACTGAATATGGAAACGACACAAACACCGCTGCTGTATGGACGGGAAGCGATACCGCGGTATATCGGAAAAGGCAGACACAACGTGGCAACACATGAAAAACAACCACCGTGCAAACAGGAAACTAGATAGCTACCAAGAAACTAGCTTTTTGAAGCGCAAGCTGGCCATCTAACTAATTCGCACAGCTAAGCAAACTAAATCAACCAAGTAGCTAAAAATCGAACTAGCTAAGCATCTGACTAGCTAGCTAGCCAACTAGCTGGCGACCTACTTAACTGGCTAACTTGGCCTCGCACACGCATGCACCTCAAGAGAAAGACACATAAAAAGGGCGCAGACATGCCAGGCATGTGCATTGACAAGAAAACACGTCCCAACCTATAGTTGCTTCAATACCGTTCACCTGCTTTGCAGTCTTTGCTGATATTTGGTCGACATTCATTGCATTAATCTAGAGACTGATTGTTACGCGGTATGTCTTTCAGTTAATTAATCCCATTCCACCTTACGTCTCCAGCAGGCTGCTTCAGGGAGGAACTGAAATGCAGCACCACCTGGAGTCAAACGAGCGCATCGCCATGGCAATGTTGCTCCGGTTCCTTTTGGTATGGGGCTGTCTGTGCACTTTCTTGCAGTGTTGGACGGAGGCCGTCTAGCCTGCAACGCTTGGACGAGAAGTGCCTGGCTTATGGCAGCAGGCGGGTGGCGGGTGAAATGGGCAATCGCCCAAAGCTAAAGACCGGAACTGGTTAGTCGGTAAATCATTAATTGCCTATGAGTGTGATGGCACGTTGTGCCATCCGTGGCTTTGCCACGCACTATGCACAGGAAGCAAAAATCATTGGAGGGCCAAATGCCCCCAAGACAATCACATGCTTGACGTCCCCAGCACATGGCGGAACGCACGAGCGAACCAGTTGGGAGCCAAGCATGGGCCCGGCCATTCACCTTCGCACCGGCCGGCTGGATAAATCAGCGCATTCAAACTTTCAAAGCCAAGACTTCAAGAGCTCAGCCCAAGCCACAAATGTATCTTGCGGCCAAGGCTCTTCTTCTTCTTGCCTGCTTTCTTGCTCTTTTCGGGCGAGTCCAGCTCTGCCAAGATCTGATCAAGATCATCCTCAGCTCAGTGGCGCAAGGTTTGTGCAACTTCGCAACTCCCATCATCATTCCACCCATTCGCCCATTCTGCCTCTTTGCTCTTCTCCGGCTTTTTGGCTTTTTTCTTCTCGGGCTTGTCAGGCTTGTCTGCGCACGAACTGGCTTGCAGGATCTTACATGCCAAAGCAAAGGCCCGACCTGGAGCGGTCTCAGGCTCAGGTGCGGTCTCCTCACGGCTTGCCATCTCAACCCGCAAGCATTTGATGCGTCTTGGCACCGTCTTGGTGTGCCTTGTGCAGTGACTGCCTCTCCTCCCATGTAGGGATCTCGACGCTTCCGTCCACGATGCCACGCTGCCATTCGGAAACTGCTCCATCGTCTGCAGCATCAAACTCGCACCTGCAAGCAGGGCGCGGGATATCGCGAGATTCAAGACTTCAAGATGCGCAGCTCATCTCAGGCAGCGACTTGCTGAAGAAGCTGGTCATCACTTGCGTTAGTCGATTCCGGGCCTTCTTCACCTGAGCTTCTGAGCATTTCTGGGCTTCATCTCACGGACTCGAAGCAATGTGGCAGAAAGCGTGGCGTGCCCGGTTGCGCAGGGCGTTCTCCACCCGGATCTGCGGGGGAGGCAGGGCCAGGCCCCACACTGCCTGCCGTTCATGGACCTTGGCTCGCTGCCCGGACCCGACCTCACGGCCCGGCACCCTAAAAAGCCTTCAGCGCATGGCCAGGGCAACAGCGCGGTCGTCCACCTGGTCAAGTAGCTTCAACCTCGGCCATCTTCGGAAATCTTCGGCCATCTTCGGCCATCTTCGGCAATCGTCTTTGCTCCAAAGAGTCAGAGCTTGTCAGTGCTTGTATGTGCTTGGCACAGAATCTCTGTGAGATCCGGACGCTCCGGCAAGGCCAGGGTCTGTCACAGACTCTTGCAAAGCATCCAGCAACTTCTCATCGGTGAGCGCATCGAGCTTTGCTAGCCTTCCCGACCAAGCGATGCACCATCATCAAACCAGAGATGACCGCCTACCCAACAAACAACAAGTTGAAGGTTGGTCGCTCTATTGCTGATCCGCCGCTTGCTAGTGTCACCTTGCCACCTTGCCACCTTGCCACCTTGCCACCTTGCCACCTTGTCGCCTTGTCGCCTTGTCGCCTTGTCGCCTTGTCGCCTTGGCTGTTGGCACTGGAGGGTCGATAGCAAACCTGGAACTCCACCCGGGGCCTGTCAATGCGGTCCTGGGAAAACAGCTGCACCAGCCGCTCCTGCTCCATCTCCTAGACGTGCAACCTCTATGCCTGCTCAAATTGGGAGCCAAGGGGCCAAGCATGGGCCAAGCCCAACCAGAATCGGCCATCAGCACCCAACCGCTCGCTCCGTGCAGCGATCCGATCCGACCCATCCGACCCATCCGACCCATCCGAGTGTCCTGCTTCTTGGCCTGGGCCAGCTGCTTGTCCTTCTCGGACTGTTCCTGGGCCTTGATGCGCGCCTCCTCTCGCTGCTGCTCCTTCTTCAGCCTCTCGTTCTCCTCCTGGAGACATGGACATGGGCGGTCACTGAGCTGTTGCCTGGCCAATTGCAGCCGAAGCGGAAAAACATCCTGCTTCTTTTGCTTCTCTTCAGCCTTCCGCGCTTTCCTTAGCACACACCCGCGCTGCCATTGCATCGCTTACCTTCCAGCTTTACCCGCAAAAATAGCCCGCAGTACATTGGCGGCACATGTAAGCTTAGATACTGTTCTTCCTTCTTCTCTTGTTGCCTCTTTGCCGCGTCTGCAGCAGCTTGCTCCTTCTTTCGCTGTTCCTGGCGCAAAGCAAGCGGCACCAAGCCGCGCACAACCACTCCGACAATCAGTTGTACATCAAACCCGCCAAAAACTAGACAGCGAGTGGCCCGAAGCGCGATTAGCTAGTGTTACTAACAGAGTGAAGCCACAACTGCACACGTGCCTAAAATGCAGACGCTGTGCATGACTGACAAGTCAACTCAACGATGCTAGGAGTAAGTACGCACCGTACCGGTGGGTAGTTGAGCGGCATTGGCAAAAAAAACACCCTAGTGGTCACATTGTGACATTGAGGCAGCGTCAAGTAACTTAATAAGTAACTCCTTGTGCTTCGTGTCATGAGAAGCTCCGTCGTGTGAGAATGCTTAAGCGTGACGGTGATAGAACAGCCGTCTTATTCGTCAGCCACCGCCTTGGCAGCACACGTGTGAAGCGTACATTGTCCGAGGTCCGATGGATAAGCAGTCCAAGCAGTCGGCGAAAAGCACGCGGTCCACGGCACAGCGCTCAACGAGTGGCACAAGTTCAAAGCGTCAACCAAGCCAACGATCCACGGACTCAAAGCAAGCTCCAAAAAAAGCACGTGCAGCCTTTTGGGTGTTGTTTTGAGCTGTCGATGGCCCACCTGGCCGAACTCGAAGAAAACGAGAGGGGCACAGTGCACTTTCTATTGACAAGTCTTGAAGCAGTGGTGTTGAGGCGGTACCAAGTTCTTGACTGCCTTACAGCTGCTAGATGAGACTCCTCCGCAGTTCTCCTTAAGCAACCAGAAGTTGCACGAGGGCCACGGCCCCGGAAGGCCAAAAAATGGACATTATGATGCCTCCTTCTTCTTCCTTTCTTCAGCCTTCTCGGCAGCAAGCTTCGCGCGCTCTTCAGCTTGTTCGGCCATCTCTTTCTGCCTTTTGGCCTGGCAGTCTCTCAGTACTCATTGCTGCGCATCTATCCAAATGACGTTCGTCTACCCAAGGCCTCATTCTCCGCAGCCTTGGCTTGCCATTCATCCAAGGCTCGCTCAAGCAAACTTGCTGGGATGCTGAAGGCAGCGGGGAAAACATTCGTTCCACTGGCAAGGCCTACAGCACAACTAGCGCGTGATGAGGCAAGCGCCCTTCGTCTCTTCTGCTCCTCGCGCTGCCGAAGCTCCTCTGCAGCTTGGAAGTCCTCACACCCGAACCAGCCGCTGCGTGCGGGGGGGGGCAACGCAAACAAGGTCTCTAGCAAATGAAATTTGCACATAGTGACATGGCTTTTCCGGATGGAGATTGAGGCAACTGTAGGCTCCCTCCTCTTGGGAGTCAGTCGGGCCACTGGTGGTGCTCGCAGTATCTTCACAGACCTCCGGGAATGGAGAAAGATGGTGCACCATTGGAATGCTTCATGCGCTCTCTATTTTGTGACATCCCCGCGCGCGGCCTTCATCGGTGTCAAGCCGCACTTCTCGATGGCCTGAGCAGCAGGCTTTCTTTTGAGGCGCTTTCAGTTTCTTACAAGGCTTGCTTAATCTTGTTTACTGGGCTGTGATTCGCTTTCTTAGGGCGCTTTCATTTGAGGGGTCTCGCGAGTCGCCTGGTGGAAGAGGGCCGCCGCTCCGAGCACGTCTTTCTTCTTGAGCGCCTCATCAATGCCGTGGCCCAGCTCCCGCAGCGCGTCCTCCTGACGCAACGCGCAACGCGAAACGACGACGCATGACTCGGCGCATGACTCGGCGCATGACTCGGCTTTGACCGCCGATTTCCCATCTTCTCATCTTCTCATCTTCTCATCTTCCCATCTTATCTTAACATGCCGTCCTCAAACTGGGAGCACACCGTGTTGATCTGATCCAGGACCACGTGGGCTTTCACGGCCTGGGCAGGCAATCACAACCCGCCATGAAAACCATCGACCGGAGCCAGGCAGGGTGAAAGCTCCGCAATCGCTGCCGGCACTTCTTGACCCGTTCCTTGGAGCCACGGAGTTACGCACAACTGCACAACTGCATGTCCTAGTTCAGCTGGGCCGAGCATTGGGGGGGTCCTGGGGCCCCAGACTCTCACAGCATCCTGGGCAGCAAAGTCACGGAGTCCCCAATCCCTGGCCCTGTTCCATCCAGTTGTTGTTAGCGTTTCTCCTCTCCCCTCTTTCTCTGCCATTTCTAGACCCCTGGCCTTGGCCGCTTTCTCCTCCTTGCGCTTCTTCTCCAGCTCCTCAACGGCAAGTAACTTGCATTTTGGCATTGCAGCATTGCAGCATTTCAGCTCATGCTGGGCCCACGGCAGCTCTCTCCGCCTCCTCTGCTTCTCGCTTCGCGCGCTCGGCCTGGCGCCGATCGAAAACATGTGCAACGAGCGAGCGCAGAATCAACAGTGAAAGGCCCTGACTGCGAATTCGCGAGAAACAACGGGCGAAGCGGCGAACCCTTCGCCTCCTCCTTGGCGCGCTGAGCCGCTGCTCGCTCCTCGCCATGTCGGTGTTAGCCCTCGAGAGCCCAAGGACGCCGGTCCTGCTCTTTTCTGGCTGCTTCTGCCTGACGGGCCAACTTCTTTGCCTGGCCAGGCAAAGCGATCAAAGAACAGCACGAAGTCGCGAAACATGAAGATCATTCCGGAGGCCTCCTTCTCTGCTTGGACTCGCGGATCCATGGATTCGGCAAGGCTCACAAGTTTGGCGATGCGATCTCGCTCTTGCTGCTTGTATTTCCGGGCGACTCGTTCATTCTCCCTCTGCATCCAGCGCCTGCGAAGAAAGCATAGGAATACAAAATAATTTCGGAAGTTCCGCATATTTGGCCAAATTTGTCAATGCCTTTCTTCTCTGCACTCGGCATCGGCGAGGTCGCAAATCTCTTCGCCGGCACTCTGTGCCAGCATCACCTAAAGTCAATGCACATTCCCTCGGTGCAGTCTCGAATCTTCATGCCAAGCTGCGGGATCTCTCCAGGACTGGAAGTTGTCCCTGGCATTGCCAAGTCTTCAGAGACCGTTTCACCGGAAGGCTGGGCGCGCCAAAACTCGTAGAACCTCTTCCAGGAACGAGGCTCATCCTGGAACGATTGACACGAGCTCGACTCGTAAGTGAAGACTCGAGGCCTCCATGGAGCCAAGGTCAGGAACCGGCCGCTTCACCGAGAAGCGCGCGTTGCGACGGAAGGCCTGGCAAAGCAGTCAAGTGTAAATAAAGCCGTTAACCTAAACGAAGCAGTCAACTCAAAACAAAGCAGGCACAAACAGCACAAACACAAGAACCTAAAGATGATAACACAAGATAGCACAAGCAATGTAACCGTACATGACAGTGTGACCACATTGAAAATCCGGTGGCTTATGATGGCTCTTAGCGGCTTTTGACGGCGGATCGAACTCTGCATTCACAAGGAGCTGCATGCTAAACCAGCAGCCTGTGAGGCTTGCCGCTTGCCACCCAGCCTCACCGAAGACTTGGAAGAAGTCTTCACCGGAGCGCAGCTTTGGCAAGCTCCTGAGCTGCGCACATTTGCACAGGTGCAAGCAACCTCTGGCGGGGCAGGCAGCGAGTGGCAGCGAGTGGCAGCGAGCAATCGGCAATTGCCCTGCCAAAAAGCTAGCAAAGACCAAGTGATGCATGCGGCAAAAGCCGCAAAACAAACAAAAGATCAATTTAAGCGATCAAAAGAGAAATCTGGGCATAAAACCATCCAAAGATGTCACCCCAACATTTGTTGGCCCGATATGCTGCTGTACAGTTTGCTTGCCTCACTGGCTGATCACACCACCCCAAAATGTTCTACTTGCGGCTTGCAAGCTGTTAAATCCCCGTCTCCCACTCCTTACGGAAAATAGCTTCAACAAGTATTACGAACAAGACCCCAAACCCTAAAGCAACGCAATATAAAGTCAAATTGTCCACGAAACTGCCCTGCCCTGCTGGTTGCACCTGCAACTGATGAACTCTCAGGAACTATGTATCCTACGTGCGCGCCTTGACACAAACACAGCAGCACTACCAAATGCATTGAAACAATCGGCATCGCGCTGAATATGTCAAGTTTGCCACATTTGCATCTTTCACATCATTCATTCTTTGAGCTGGAGCACGACAAGACGAAAAGCCAAGCGTCTCATCGAAGTCCAAGCTTGAGTCGTATTGCTTTCGCTTCACGGGATCCGACAAGAGCTCATAGGCCTCTTGGATCTTGATGAAATTCTCTTGGACCTCAACCAGTCGGCAACGCGGCGATGCGACGCATTGCATAATATGCAAAATGTGGCAATATGCGACGAAATATGCGGCAAAATGTCCGATCTCCATCTCTTGTTTTTTTCATCATCAACATCGCACCGAACGGCCGACCTTCTTGGCTTCATCCGGCTCCATCGTTGCCTGCTTGTCTGGGTGGGCACTCAGCGCCATGGTCCTGTACGCTTTCTTGATCTCATCCTGCAGGGCTCATCAGGAACATGCTACGTGGCTAGTATTGGCTACATGCAACAAAGGACAAAAATATGACAAAATGCAACACGCAGGAACATGCAGGATCGCTGATTGTTCCTGGGAGGCCCCCTCGGATATCCCCATGAGCTCCTGAAAATGCGCCCAAGTGAAAGGTAGTCACTCGAAAGCAAAGGGCGCAGGCGTAAAGCTGAACCCCTTTGAGCAACTCGCCTGGCAAGGCCAGCAAGGTCACAAGCGTCGCTTGCCAGCAAGAGCCCTGTCTTTTGCGTCTTTTGCCAAGCCGCTTATTTTCAGGTAGCCTCCAGCTGCCTTTTTGTCCTGGGACAAATCCATCGCTGTTGAACAAGCCGCCTGCAAATCCTGGCCTTGTTGCTTTTGTTCTTGCCATACTCTTCCCCAGCGGCCGACTCATCACTTTCGGAGCTCGCCGCATCTGAGTCTGACGTGGGTGCCCTTGCCTGGGAGGGATCGAGAGGCTCTGAGACGGTGATCTCGGCCGGGTGCCTCGAAGCGCGCGCTGAAAGCCTTCCCAGCCGCCTCGCACAAGTAGTTGGCAGCCGCCTCACCGAGCACCCCGGTATGCCGGTTTCAAACGGCTGTCACAAGCATGCCCGCTGAGGTGCGCGCAACGCAGCCACCTGCCACAAGCTGCACTGGCCCGCAGCAACTCAGGATGACCTGGAGAAGCAGCGCATGCCAGCACAAGGGAGAAACCGAGGCGCTGACTTCAGCTTGACATCCGTTCGGGTCGTCAAGCAGAGCTCTGGCGCGACGTCCCGGCATGGCGCGCCTCACGGCGTCATGAGCTGAATCAATGAATCAACCCTGCCTGACGCCGCTGGCCTATCCAAGTGCGCGTCGTGCCGCACTGCCCCGTTGCACTGCCCCGTGCTTGAGCAGCAGACAGGGCACATGCACAAGACCTTAAGCATCTCAGTCGCAAGCAGCAAACACACTACACATCCAAAACACGACACCCCCAGGTCTTTCAACCGTCGTGAATCACCTTCCACCTCCGGCTCTCTTCTGGCCGAATCTGGCATCCACAGATCAACTCAGCAGCCCTCGAAATCCTCACAGTGAAGGATTGCAACCCCCTGCAACAGCCACGGCAAAGTTCTGAAGCCTGTCAACCCCGGGGTTTCCTCCCAGTACTCGCTGCCATAGTCCGTGACGAGCTCAGCGCCCTTTTTCACGTCCTTCGTGGTCCTTCAAATCTGAGCTGGAGAGCCCATGGAACCAAGCAGTCACGCATATCTACCGGCCTGAAGTAAGCCACATCGCCGAACTCGCAAATCTTCACATTAACCTTCTTGCATTGCCTCAGCAGTGAGAGCCAGCTAGCAAACTGCGATCTGTTGTCTTAATCTTCACGCTCGCCGGCATAAATGCAAGTCCGTCACTCTTTGCTGTGAGCTGCATTGATGAAGCGAGTTGGGTTCTTCTCGGCAGCCTCTCGGCCGTCTATGCAAAAAGTTGTTGCGGCCCCAGCGTCCTCCGCCTCAGTTTGCACTGCCAAAGCCCTAAAACCCTGAAGCCTGCCGTGAGAGGCCGTGAGCTGCGGTGAGCTTCCGGCCGCTTTCAACTGGTCGTCCGTGAAGTTGAAAAGTGGCTCCTCCCTTAGCGGGCACCATACGTAGTCCATATCACGGGTGCCTCTCATCTTCCGGAACTCTGCGATACCTCGGCTGAACGAAGCTGCACGCAACCCTCGGCCAATCTGGAGGTGTCCGAGGAGGGCCGAGGAGGGCTGAGCAAGCGGCTCAACGGCTTGCCCTGGTACGGGGGCAGCCTCAGACGCGGACAGGTCTGTGCAAGATCTGTGACTTGAGGATCCTCGGGCTGGGGCACAGCATTCTTTGGCAGAGCTTCGGTGGTAAAGAGCCCGTCCCCGGCATCGCCAAGGCTCGAAGGCTTCACCTGCAAGTGGGAGCCGTCCTCACGCAAAGTTGACATTGGACAATTCAACTTGCCAAACGTCCTCCGGGTTCCACAGGAGGAGATTCGCCGACTGCCAGTTGAGCTTACCTAAGGGCCAAGCGATGCTTGTCCCAACTTGACCCTCAGCATCTATCTTTGGGCAAAGCTGCTGGCCCAACCGTTTTCACCCAGGCCGGAATCGATGGCATCAAGCCGCGCTTTGGTGGCATCAGCTGGCAGCTTATACAGTCCTAAGTTGGCCGTGCGGTTCTGAGATTTATCTGTCCCGGCAGCCGGTAAGCTGCCAACCTCCGGACACTACCTTCTCCTCTGCAGACACCTTCTCACTCAAAAACTCGTGGCAGTTGCACTTTGTCTCTCTGCCTCGGCTTGATAGATCTTTTGGCAGGGAAGCTCCAATAAAGATTTTTCCTTTGATTCGGGGCGTCGAATTGAATCGGGGCGTCGTTGCGAGGCAGTAACAGGGGTTTATTTCAAAGGCATTTCACAGGTGTAAGGACTGGGTCAAACTTCCAAAACATGGACTGTTGGAGGGGGTAGTTTGCTCACCCCAAGCCACACGCGGCCACCTTCACGTGCCCGTTGTAAACCCTGGGAGTACCCATTTTAAACCTTAAGGGTGCCTGAGTCTGTTGCGGGTACTCCGCCCGACGCCCGCTGCGCTACGGGGGCATCCATCGCGGTCCGGCCAGGGCTCGGCTTTTGCTTTCCGCACGAGTCTCTCCATCGGAAGAGTTTTAACGTTTGGCCCATTGAAGGGCTTACCTTCAGAAAAAAAACGCTCAGAAGGGAAACTCGCGTTGGCAACTTACGCAGCTTATGTGTTTAAAATATACGCTTCTAAGCCTCACGTTTTGGCAGAACATGAGCTACCAGTAAAAAGGTTCGTACTAGGGCTACGCGTTGGAGTTGACTTGGGTGAAAGACACGAGAAACGAAGGTGGCCATGCTAGTAAGAAACATAAGTACAAGTAAAAGGCGAGAGAATGATAACCCGGTCCAAACGGATCTTTGCACATCTTCAATACTGTGTAAAGGACCTTGGAAAGGTCCTGAGGCTTATCACGAACGGGCATGATTTTAGATAAGTGACTGACCCACCGAGATTCACCAGAAACGCAATGGCCAAGCATGTGTAAGCTAAATTGCCCACACCCATTTCTGATAGACTTAGGGTTGAGTACGGGGCGAACTTGTTACACGTCGAAATTTGTGACGATTCGCCGCGATATGTTTTCTGATGAACCTCGATGAGGTTCATCGGGAAATCTGGAACGGAAATGACTTGGGATCAACTGTCCAGGACACACCCGCTTAGGGGGCTTTCCTGTTTTGACACATTCCCATCTCTGATATATAGACTTAGGGTTGAAAACGGGGCGGACCTGTTCTACTTCTAACGGTCCGCCGCGACAGTTGTCCCTCACAATTTCTGACTTCTCCACAGCAACGCTTTTGAGATGAGCCTCAGTGAGTCTCATCTGAAACGCATGCGGCAATCCCTGACCCCTCCGAGTACCATAGGGAGATCAGAGCCGGAGGGGTCAGGGATTGCCGCATGGGTTTCAGATGAGGTTCACTGAGGCTCATCTCAAAAGCGTTGCTGTGGAGAAGTCAGAAATTGTGAGGGACAACTGTCGCGGCGGACCGTTAGAAGTAGAACAGGTCCGCCCCGTTTTCAACCCTAAGTCTATATATCAGAGATGGGAATGTGTCAAAACAGGAAAGCCCCCTAAGCGGGTGTGTCCTGGACAGTTGATCCCAAGTCATTTCCGTTCCAGATTTCCCGATGAACCTCATCGAGGTTCATCAGAAAACATATCGCGGCGAATCGTCACAAATTTCGACGTGTAACAAGTTCGCCCCGTACTCAACCCTAAGTCTATCAGAAATGGGTGTGGGCAATTTAGCTTACACATGCTTGGCCATTGCGTTTCTGGTGAATCTCGGTGGGTCAGTCACTTATCTAAAATCATGCCCGTTCGTGATAAGCCTCAGGACCTTTCCAAGGTCCTTTACACAGTATTGAAGATGTGCAAAGATCCGTTTGGACCGGGTTATCATTCTCTCGCCTTTTACTTGTACTTATGTTTCTTACTAGCATGGCCACCTTCGTTTCTCGTGTCTTTCACCCAAGTCAACTCCAACGCGTAGCCCTAGTACGAACCTTTTTACTGGTAGCTCATGTTCTGCCAAAACGTGAGGCTTAGAAGCGTATATTTTAAACACATAAGCTGCGTAAGTTGCCAACGCGAGTTTCCCTTCTGAGCGTTTTTTTTTCTTTTTTTCTGAAGGTAAGCCCTTCAATGGGCCAAACGTTAAAACTCTTCCGATGGAGAGACTCGTGCGGAAAGCAAAAGCCGAGCCCTGGCCGGACCGCGATGGATGCCCCCGTAGCGCAGCGGGCGTCGGGCGGAGTACCCGCAACAGACTCAGGTACCCTTAAGGTTTAAAATGGGTACACCCAGGGTTTACAACGGGTACGTGAAGGTGGCCGCGTGTGGCTTGGGGTGAGCAAACTACCCCCTCCAACAGTCCATGTTTTTGGAAGTTTGACCCAGTCCTTACACCTGTGAAATGCCTTTGAAATAAACCCCTGTTACTGCCTCGCAACGACGCCCCGATTCAATTCGACGCCCCGAATCAAAGGAAAAATCTTTATGTGCGCACCACGCTCTCCTCAAATCGATCGATCGGCGATCCCGCACCGCGCTACACCCAAGTGCTGTAGCTCACCGCCAGAAATGCAGGTCAGAACTTGCAACGAACCAGCAACTCGCTTCAATTCCAAAGCCTGAAAAGAATGGACCCCAAGGAAAATGGACCGAAACAGCTTTATTCAAATACCCTCTTCTCCCCCTTGGTTTCCCCTTGAGGGCCCAAACTACTTTCGCAAATACCGGGCGCACATCTTCCCGCCTGCAGCCCTAGGAAGCTGAAGGTGTCCTCGAGCAGAAAATGCTTGGTTCGGGGCTACTTGGATCTTCGCTTCGCCAAGGCAGGTGGCTACTCACCTGGGTCAAAACCCACTAAGAACATGGGTAACTCCACTGAAGGGGGGATATAACCCACTAAGAACATGGGAAACTCGCCTGAAGAGGGAGGCTTAGAAGTGGGTTTGTCACCTTACCAACTACATACTAACTTGGCGAAGCGAACCCCCAAGTGGTGTGGGTGGACAAATTCCGCTCACCGGTTGGCAGGTGGCAGATCCCAATGGGCTTTCGTCCTTCCCAACGGGTCCATCCCAAGTACGGCTCATATTCCTGTGGAGATGCAAACAAAAAACATGAGCCACGGTCAAAACGACGTGTTCCCTGAGAGAACATCGGAAAATGAGTGAGTCCGAAATGAGTGAGTCCGCTAGGTTGAACAGGAATACTTTGTTGACCGCGGATGAAGTTAAACGCTGGTTGAATTGGATTCGGGGGGGTGTCCCTGGTTTCATGGGGATTCACTATTGAAGGGGCCCCCACCCCGGAGTAGTAGGACGGGGTCAACAGTACCTGCGATGTGTTGCGATATTTTTGGCCTTTGACCCTTTTCTAGCGTCCTCATGAAAGCCATCGCAAAGCGCCGAAAGTAGATATTGATTTGATGACTTTTTATTTTTCGAAATAATTTTGGAAATGTTGTATATAAAAGAGATGTTTATTAACCGAACATTGAATGTTTTATTAACAGGTTTTTTATTGATTCCCACTCCCATACGGTGCTCAGATTAGCAAGGAAGCCCCCAAACCCCACTTAGTAGAGGAACCTGCTTTTGGGGGGCCAGCTTATTGAGTTGCTTGCTGCTTTTCTTTGCAGAGGAGTGTTCAAAATTCTGGAACCCCTTCCAAACAATGGCGGCTCGCCTCAAAACTCAGTGGGTTCCCACCCGGAACCCGTGGTAGTCTGCCTTGTTTTGCAGCAGGTTGGGAGACGTCGACTGCGGTTAACATCAGCTTATCCCCCGCCCAAATGGCTGGGAGTCAGCTGACCCCCCCTACATGGTAGGGAAAAAACCACCAAAAAAGAGGTACCAACGAGCCACCCACCCAATGGGTGGGAGACCTCTCGTCGTCAACTCGCTTGGTCTCCTGGACCTCATCCTGGGATGCCGTGGCCAAGCCCAGGAACGCCACCAGGAAGAGGCCGAAGAACACCGCGAGGCTGGCCAGCCTTGGATTCCAAGCTTCCGCATCCGGATCCATCGGATCCCGGATGGCAAGTCGGGGGGCGGTTGGTGTCTGATCCAAACCACAAATTGAAGGGAAGTATTCTTGAGGTAACCCCTATTTGTAGTGCGTAAATGGGAAACTACTGCTCAACCACCAAAAAAACCATTCAACACCACCAATTGAAGGGAAGCTTTTTTGAGTATACGCGTCCTTGTGCGTGTGCTTTTTCAGGAAAAGAGTTTGGTCCCTCTTTTTTGACCGTACCTGTTTCGGTGGTTTTCAAGGCAAGCTGTCATTTTAGCCTTAGTCGAACCCTCGAAAGGCGGGTCTGACGGTGTCTGATCTGCATGGGTCCCTTGGCATGTGTTTTTGAGGTAACCCCTAATTGTAGAGAGTATATGGGAAACAAGTGGGCGATCAAACCTATGCTCACTTGCCCCAAAAAACCTGGAAGCTAAGCTGATGCCCTGTTTTTGACCTGGATGGAATATGGCTGTGGCTCAAAAAAGTGGTACCAAAATGGCACCCTGGCAAATGGAACCAAAGACTAAAACCCGCGTAACCCCAGCTCTTTAATTTTGAGCCGTACCCATATGGTTGCCATACAAGAAAGCCCGAAAGTTCACAAGCTTGGCTTTGGGGCGAGTACCCCCTGTAGTCTATTTTAGTTAGGGGAATGTTCCCCCGAAAAAGGGTAAAAGGGCTCTACTGGGAAACCTAGTACTGGTCTGTCTTTTTAGGGGACCCCCTCCTCGAATGGTGCTTTTCCTTTTGTTTGCCCTTCAAACCCGCAAGCAAATGGCCTTTCCCTCGTGTTCCCCCCGAATCTGTTCGTGTCCAGTTCCTGAGTTGCCCACCAAACGTCACTTGCTCTAGGGGTACCTTCCCCAGTCTATCCTTTCTAGAAAACCTCCGGACACCCAGGGAAAACGGCCGGCCTTTGTTTGTTAAACCCAAGGAAGGAAGTCCGAGAAGGAGTTCAGGCCTCCAGTGGAACGGCTAGAAAAAGTTGGTACCCCTTTTTTTTGGGGGGACTCCATTTTAGCAGGGGCACCCTCCCAACCAAACAAGGGCTGAGAAAGGGCACCTAGCTGGAAAACCTAGACATATTCACCAGAAACTGGAAGCAACCGGAAGCCGAGCAGCAGGAAGATCGGCAAGGCCAGGAGAGAGGGCACCACCCGGATCATGTTCCCGGCTTCCTTGAGCAGCGCGATCAAGATCTTGAACTGCCGCGCCATGGAAAGCCTGACAGGGTCCATGGAACAACTACCGTCCTCGCAAAGGCATCCATTGATGCATTGGTGCTGTGGATGATCCTGCACCACTTTGAAGCGATGGGAAACCATTGTTTGTTGGTATTTACAGGTGAATCGGCTCATTCCAGGGTTTTCTTAGGTGGTGCGAAATGGATTTGCCCATCCGCAGTGGCTCGCTGGCTCAAAAAGCCGAGAAATAAACGGTGATCGCCTTGTGGCACCTTGACTACACCGAATCAAGAAAACCAACGTTCCAAAGGTCGAATCGCGGCAAGCTGGTTGATTCGTGGGGTGACCTTTTGACTGGGAATCCGGTGGTAGATGGGTGGTTCGGACGTTGGGACGGTGTCTCATGCAAGAACCTTCAAATCCCCCAACCCATCAAACCCAGAAACCTAGGGGGACGTCTCTCCTTTCTCTCCCCCGGTAAAACACAAAGCAAAACACAAACACTAGGTCCTCCAGATTTGAGAGGTTAGAATAAGTTGGTACCAACTTTTTTTTTCCGTAGTCTATGTTAGGGGAACCGAATCTCCCCACCAAACAAGTTGGTGAGAAAGGGCGCCAATTGCTGGGGGACCTCGAAAAGAAGCGTCCGAGTTCCCGCGCGCGCCCCGCGCGAGTTCATGCGCGCGCGCGCGCTCATGCGCGCCGAGGGGCAGAAGGCAGGCCAGCAGCGCGATGGCCACCGCCAGGCAACATCCGCCGATGGCGCACAGCTGGCCCGAGGATTCGTCCCCCGCCTCCGCCACTCGCAACGCGACTTGCTGGAAGGACCCCTCGGCAAAAAGTGGACCACTGTTTGGGGGGTTTAGTAGGAAAAAAACACCCGTATTTCAACCAAAAAGTTAAAGTCTAAAGATCCGTTGCCCAATAGCAGCCAAGTCGAAATCCTTTTGATGGATCGATCGAGTCCAAAGGGCCCGAAATACATCCCATGGGGGAGGGAGGGCAAACAAAAAGCAGATCCCAAGTGCAAGGCCTGACTCAGTTGCCCATTCGGGACCCAGATATACAAAGCTCAAAAGGTCGGCGCCTTGGGCAACTGAGCTTTTTGGTAGGTAACCCAGCTGTCCGCTTTGCCATTTCCTTGTTGGGTTTTGAATGGTGGCAAGCCCTTGGGTGCCTACTGTACAGATCCGGAAAGGTACGGAAAGGTAACCACGCGTTTGTAATTACCATCGAAATGGCCTTTGCAAAACGTATTAAGTCCAGGAACTCAGTGCGTCCGGGGTTGAACAGTTTGGTTGGGCTACCAGGGGCGAACCGAACAGGCAAAGTCATAGGCTGCTTCCCGCAGAACAGTCCTGGCGGGTGTCGAAAATCAGCCTGACATGTATGGGCTTGTCCCCACATCCCACAGAGCTTCAAAACGGCGCTGGGTAGCTTTGCTCTAGCGATGTGCAAAAAGGCCCGAAATACGCAATGGGTATGACTTCCTCGGTTGATTGGGTTCAAAAACACCCTTAACTTTTTGGTTTACTACTAAAAGCTCTTCCCAGAAACAAGTTCAGGAACTCAGAGATCAGGGGTGTGCAGTAGTGGAAACCCCTAACCACTACCGGAGGTTTAATGGGATGTTCAACCACTACATAGCCACTGTAGAAAGGGTATATACCCCAATTTGCCCTGGGGTATATAGATGGTTTGGGGGTACTGGATTCCATCTTTCAATCACCACATTGATCTAAGGGTTCTTGTAGTACACCCTTGGGAAGTGGCCAAAATTGGTCAAAATAACATGATTTTACCCCGGAGATATGCCTAAATGGGGTCATTTCCTAGTGGGCGTAATCCAAAAACCCTTAGAATTGACCACTGCGTAGCCACTGTAGAAAGGGTATATATTGGTAGTGGTTTGGGGGTACTGGATTCCATCTTGGAATCACCGCAGTCAGAGAAACTCCTTTCCCCCAAGCTATGGCAATGCCACCTGAACCATTTCCAGAATCTTCCAGCCTGGGTCAGCAGACTCTCAGCGCCTGGTGGCACATTGATGTCTAAGCCTCAGTCCCACACGAAACCCGACTGGGCCGCCTGCAGATCCCCTGCTAAAAGTGACTAACTTTTAGTGGGAAATATGGAAAGCCCTGCTAAAACTTTAACTTTTAGTGGGTTAAATGGAAAGCACCACGAAACACTAAAAGGCTAAAAAGCTAAGGGGATGGCTGGGAGCCAGCAAGCTGACTGGGGGTCCTGGTTTGGAGCATTTTGTCCGAGCGACACCTCCAGCAATAAAATAGCAAATTGGGCACCGCTTGGTGTGGGGGGCTGAGTTGCCCCCATTTACTTTTGTGGAAATGCAAAGGGACTTGGTCTTCCGGAGTTCCCGATCCATTTTCTTTTTTGGATCCTCCCAAAAAGGGTACAAGGGCACCACTGGGAAACCCGGCTAAACCCGATTCGAAAACCAAGGAATCCTCTCAACTTCCCACATCCCAGCGATCAATTCGCCACTTGGGGGCTGATCAATACTCCTAGCCCCCAAATGACCATGGGCAACTTTTCTCATGTGGGAAATATCATCTCTTATTGGCGGTCCTCCAACCATCGGTCATCTCATGTTCATTGGACCTTTTGATCAACCCCCCATGTATAAATATCTATTAAAATATATGTTCTCTCTTTCCATGTTCTACTAGTTGAATCGTTTTGTTCATTTGCTTTGTCGGCTTCTTCGGCTTTGCTTCTTTACCCCCCTCCCTGAGCTCGCCTCAGACCCCCCCGCCCCACTTCTCCGAAGCGACGTCTCCGCGCGCCGCGCGAGCCGAGCGGCTGGCCAGGAACTGCGTGAAGCGCTCCCCGGTGCGGCCCGTGGCGATGCCTGCCTGCACGAAGAGCACCTCACCGCGTCTCGCGCGTCTCCCCGCGGGGGGTCTTCGCGCGGCTTTTGCGGCGCGAAAAAGCCCCGGCGGACAAGCTCCTCCCGTTGTCTTTTGTTTGTTTTCCCTGTTTTGGCTCTGTGTTTTGTGTTTTTCTTTTTTTGGTGGGGAATGAAATACTTTCTGAACCCTTCCTCTAAAAGATGCACTGGTAGAAAACCCAAATTTGTGTTTGGTGTGGGGAAATGAAGCTGGGAAAGGGTTTGGATGCGGCGAATAGGTGGATCCACCAACCTGTAGGATACTAAAAGAGTACTAAAAAAGAACCTGCACAAGTGGAATCCACAACAAGCGCATCCAACCTGTTATCTGGAATGGAGCATTGTTTGCAGCCTCCCTCTAAAAAAGATGCACTGTGAGAAATCCCAAGTTTGGGGTGTTGGGAATGATGGTTGGGGCCCAAAGCGAACCAACAAACAAGTTCAGCTTCCGTTTGAAACCATACGTATTCCAGTAGTGAAAACTAGTCCCATCAAAAGCAAAAAGCGGAAATACAACATATTTATTTCAGCAAACGGAAGGAAATCAAAGCTACCATTTTTTAACCCCCCCCCTGGGGGGAAACAAACAAAAAAAACAGTTGTCTTCCCAGGGTCCCATGTTAGAAAAAGATAGCAAAGCAACTGAAGTTGGAGTAAGCATGCTTGGTTCAGCTTCTATCTTTCTTGCTCTTGATTTTCTGGCCTGAGATTTGGTTTTGGCGCTGTTTCTGCATGGTGGTTCTTTGCTGGTTGGTCGGTTGCTTGGTCGGCTGGTTGGCTGGTCCTTTGGCCGCTTACCGCGGGAATGTTAAGCTTGGGGTCCCGGTGTCCCCCTTTCGTGGTTGGATGCAGACCACTTTTGGAGGGAACACACCCCAAATACCAGGGATCCTTACATTATACACCTGAACATTGCCTTGTAAATGGTGGTTTCCCTTTATTTTGGTGGAAAAAGCCGTGTTTCAAATGGTTGCAAAATGTATCTTTTAAGGAGCCCTGAATACTGGGACGGGTTTGTTTAATCCTGGGTCAACATTTGGCATCGGTTTTTCCCAGGTTCTGGACGTTACTCTGGGGAGTAAGCGGTTGACCTTCAGCCAAAGCGCAAAGGCCATATTATGAATCCTGGTCAAAATTAAAGCGAAGGCACGTAGTCTGCCGCCACGAGGGTGAAAAAGACCACCAGCAACAGAAGGATCAGCACTGGGGGGGCGCAAAGCGGGAACATCAGCATGATCGCCACCTCGGGATTTTTGTCTGACTGCATCCCCCCTACCTTAAGGGGGAGGGGTGGGGGGTCCCACAATTCCATTTCAGTCTTGCGTACAAAAGGGAAAATGGAACCTCTTCCCTAAGGGAAAATGGGTTACCCTAAATGGAGATCTCCAGGGGTCACACCCCCCTCCCCCAATTCCATTTTGAAGGTGGGGATCCGGCTGCGACGTGCTGCCTGGCTCGATCCCCAGCTGCGGTCTGTTTTGTTTCCATGGCTTTTCTTGACCCCAAAAACCAGCAACGGTGACTAGGAAGAAAGCAGCAACTTGGCTATCTAGGTGTTTTATTGAGAAACCGCAAAATCAAAGGTTGATTAACTTACTGGTGGCTCCCATTGAAACAATTGCCACTTTTCGAGGTGCCCAAACAGGCCCTTTTGATGGACCCCGTTGATTGGGCCCTCCAATCAAAGGGCACGAGATGGGGGCCTGGCTTGAAAACGGGAAGTTCGAAAGGGCGCTAATGACAACAAAGTTCAACAAAGTTTCAGAGTCATTTTTGAACAGGGCAAAAACAAGTTGAAGAAAAAACGGGTTACCAAGAACGTACCGGTTGCTACACGCATCGAGCATCATGGAGCAAGAGCGAAGGACCCTCCTTCGACCTTTTACGTTGCCCAATGACCCTCGAGGATTTCTTTCTGTTGGCCACTCACTCAGTTTCCCTTTTGAAAAACCCGGAAATAACAGGCGATCATCTTTTGGGGCCACCCAAAATGGGGAAACCAAACAGGGGAAAGTAAAAGTACTTTGTCAAAAGGTCGATTCGCTTTGGGCAAGTGAGCTGAAAAGGGTGCCATCTCAACCCCCAGGGCGCAGGGCAATCCCCAATGCAAGCCGAGGTATGGGCTTGCGAAAAACTGACTGTTATTTTAATTGGCAGACCCCCAGTAAAAATGAGAACAGAGCCCCCCCCCCAAAAAAAAACTGCTCCAAGCAGCAGTGAAGCTACTGTATGTTAAGTGAGTGCGGAATTACCTCCAATAAAACCAGATGATCTATGAGCTTGGGAAACGGATCCAATGGTATTCGAATTCACCATGGGCCAGGTCTGAACCACCGCCTGGAGCGGTGCTGGTTGCGCATGTGTGGCTAAAATGGCCGTAGGGTGGTTTTTGGTCTTTTCGCTGCGGGCACCCAACAAGTTGCTTGCCTTTGTTTTTGTTTTGGTCACTATGCTTCGGTTTAAACGGGAAACACATTCATATAATATGTATATGTATTTATTGCTTAAAAGTGAAACGCATTCATATGTGAACCCCTCCATTTGCTTAAGTCCCCTGGACAAATATATAAAAAAAAAAATGCAGTAGCGATGGATTCCCTTTAAAACCAGCCGGGGAAAACAAAACACATATATTCTTAACCAACTGGAGGGAACATCAGGCTGCCCCCCCCCCCCACACGTCCCACGGAGTTTTCTCCCGCGGACTGCGCCGGGCCGCCGAGAGGACGAGAGCCCCGCCCAGGCCCAGGCCCAGGACCAGGCCCAAGTTGTCCGCCACGGCGTTGCCGAAGGTGTACGCCGGGCTGGTCACGGAGGCCAGCCTCTGCTGGGGGGGTTTTGGGGGGGGCTCCAAGGACCCCTGGGCTTAGAGCTTTACTTGCCTAGGTTCTCCAGATTTGAGAGGATAGAATAAGGGTACCAACTTGTTTCTGTTTATTTTAGTAGGGGAACCCTCCCCCAAGAAAGGGGAGAGAAGGGCACCAATGGCCCATTGGTTGCTCCAAGGTCTGGGCTTAGAGCTTTACTTTCGCCATAGTTGATGGGGTACTTGGTATTGTTGTATGTGATGTTGGCTCATTGGATCCTGGGATTGGATTTGATGTGGGAGCTTCTTATTTGATGCTCCTCTGAGCCTGGAATCCACATCAACACAGAAAGAGGAAGGCCCCCCCACCCCCAGCACAAGGTTTGATAGCCATTTTGTATCTTTGATGGAAAGGCAATTTGTTTTCAATTGGTCAAACCGGGCCGATTCAATCGCAACAGGACACACACACTGCCAAATGCACAACACAACTCAAACTTGCAAGAACCAAAGTGAGCACGTGTGTAACATGTTGTTCCAGCAAAGCTGGAACAAGACGTGAAAGGTGTAATCAACAAGCTAAAATAGGCGCACAATTGTGATTTAAAAGCAAGCAGGTAAGGCCTAGAAAGGAGTTTTAAAAAAAGGGGGCTGGCTACACACGTCTGTTGTCGACTCACTTGCTCAAAGGACCTAGAAATAAAAGGTGATCAACCTTTGGGGTCATGACTAAAAATGGACCCAAATGGGAAAACAAAAAATATCGAAAGGCCGATTCGCTTTCAAGTGAGCTTTTGACCGTGGGAACATGGGGAACTGAGCGCGTCCTCTCATGTCTTTTTGCCCAAGGGATGCACAAATCTGGAAATCTTCACCGAAACCTGAAATGAGTCGCACCTCCAACTCCTCGAAGCCGCTTCACCCCTGCTCCACTTCTCACTTCCGATCGAGACTGAAGTCCGAAACGGAACTCGGGAAGGGAGTGTTTTTGAAGACCCCTTGGCTTCCATCTGCTTTTTCGCCCAGAAACATGAGAACATATTTCCGGTAGTGGAATGGATTCCGATTCAAAAACAACAGGGGAATATAACAAATCCCAATCAATCCATGTAATTATGCCAAATGCGTCCACCTGCCTACATGGATGATCTGGGAATATTCACTTCAGCAACTGGAAGTTCATTAAACATATGTGTATATATATATATATATATATATATAACCAGTATAATTTATATACATATATAATATAAACAATAACAGCACATGAAACCACACATGGGTTGGTCAAAATAGGGTGGCTCCCCAAATTGGCCTCGGTTTTCTCTTTGGGTTTCAACTTTAAAAGTACTTAAAAAGATGGGCCAAGGTTTAGCTCAAAAAAAATGCGGTCAACACTAACCCCGAAAGGTGGGTTTGGGATGGATTTGAAGCCCTGGCAAACCACGCCTAACCAAGACTTTTGAGCCATACAAAAACACCCGGGTTTCCCTTCGGAAGTTTTCTCACCGAAAACATCGCCGAGCCGCAGCAGTCTACTTTAGGGGAACCCTCCCCCAAAAAAGTTGGTGACACAGGGCACCTAGCTGGGGAAGCTAGGACGGGCAAAATCGCACACCATCCCCTATGGCTTCCTTCGAGTTAGACTCCCCCATGGTTTCCTGAAAAGCCTAAAAACCGACGAGAAAACGTCGCCGAGCCGCAGCAAGTCGGGCGCACACCACCCCCCCGCCCAAAAAAAACAAAAAAACACGCCCACAATTTTCCCCTGCCGATCCCTCCGGAAGAGTTCTCCCCGAAAACGTCGGTCGCCGAGCCGCAGCAGGTTGGGCAGGCCCTCGTCCAGCGGCAGCACCGAGACCTCCGCCTGGCGCTTCACCCGCTGCGCGCAGCCCGCCGCCGCGCCCGACGAAGCCGCCGTGGCCGCCATGGAGGTTCTCGCCTGGAGCGCGCGGACGGACGCTCGAGCTCCGGGGCACGTGTGATTCGGGGAAGGGAAGGCCGGGGGGGGGGGGAGGTGTCAAAAGGGTGGGGTACAAAAACAATCTGGCAAAATGGAATTGGTTTTTGGGTCTTTTTGGGACATGTCCGGTAGACTTTCCTGCAAACAAGTGTCCTCTTTTGAGGGTACCCTTTTGGGGTTGGTTTGGAAGGAGACAAGTCCAAATACCACATTCCCCTGTTTGCGGGTGTCTTGACTTCAATGTGAGTTGTTACAGGTTCTTGATTCACATACGTGGCCGGGGAATTAGCTGAGTGTCAACACCCGCAACTCCACTTAAACTCCGGCATTGTTTTACTAAAGGGACAACTTGCAGTACCGAGGACATGTCGTCCGTGAATGGAGACATGTCATTTGAGCTTGCACATATGTAAGACACCAATGCATAAACACACCAAATCCTTACATAACACACAATTATCGCCAGCATCTCACACTCGTCAAATGATTATCGTGTCTTCTCCATGTTTTATTTCCTCAAAGGGTGGCTTAAACTTGCTAGTTCTCCGCTGGGAAGTTCTCCGCTGGAAATGAGCTGGAATGACTTGGGGGTTCCATTGTTCGGGAATCCCCGAAACGCTACATTCAACCAATTCAAAACCCGGAATTTTTGAAATTCATTCCCTACCTATCGACCAGCAAGAAAACAAAAACATGCATCCAAGTGCACCAGCTCTAAACGATGCCTCTTGGACCCCCAAAAAAAAAAACACAACTCGTCCCTGGGAAAAGAGCACACCACTTGGGTGTTCATTTGCAACCAGGTGAACTGCACTTGGACTGATAAGAAGGTTATAACTCAGGTTGCCAACAACTTACCTGGCCGAACATGAGGTTTTGCCAAGACCAACCCAGCTGTTCATGGAAAAAGGCTTCGCCCCTTGGGGGAAAGCCATCACATTCTTGATGGGGCAGACAAACTCCAAACGTTTTTGAGTGCCACCAACATCTAGGTCCTCCAGTGGAGAGGTCGAAATAAGGGTACCCTTTTTGCTGTAGTCTATTTGAGTAGGGGAACCCTCCCTACAAAAAAAGGTAAAAGGGCACTACTGGGGGACCTAGTTTAGCAAATTGACGCTTTGTGGGGCCCGAATCCGTTGTTTGAAAGCATATTTCTTGGCGACAAGCGCTTGTTTACTCGAAGTGCACAGTGAAGAAACAACACATTTTGAGAAAAACGCTGAGAACACAATTTCCCGAAAGAAAAAGAACACGCCTCTGCATTTTACCATCCAAATCTGACCCATCCTTTCGCTAACAAGACTCGATCAAAGCCAACTCGTGCCTGGATCAAGGCTTCGTCCGCGCCTCCACCGCGCCAACCGTCCTGCGGTTTACAGCAAAACCATCCTGTGGCTGGCTGCGAAATCCTTCATCGCACCGGCGAATCGATCATTTCAGGATATTTCAGGGTTTCTTCGGTGGTGCACCACTCTAAATCCATGGTTGAAACCACACCGTTTCTTGGTATTTGTAGGTGAATCATCCTTTGTTCTTTCAGGGTTTCTTAGGTGGTGCTATGGTATTTGGGAAAAAGTGCAAACCTCCATTTGCGGATGTGTTCCTGGGGAAAAATAAACGAATATTTCCGGTAGTGATAGATTCCCTTTGAAATCAACAAGGGAGAACAACACATGTTATTTCATCTTTTCAGCAAATGGAAGGTAACCAAAGTCTGCTTCTTTGCGATGGGCAGAACCAAAAAAAACATGACGTCAAAGGACAAACATGAAACGACTCTAGCGCCAAGGGGTGCAATCCTGTATGTTGGACATTCGTACCTTGTCGGGATAGTCTTCACAGAAACTTGTCGGTGTAACGATGTTCTTTGTCGTTGTAACATGTTCTTTGTCGTGGTTGCAACCCTCTCTAGGCAAATCCAGCTTTCCGCGGCCAAACAAAACCTGAAATGATTAAAACACGAATCCCTTCCCGGTTAGGCAGCCCACGTGTCTGCCTTTCTTCAGTGGGACGGGGGTGGGGTTGAAGTCATCAATTCCATCTTCCAAGTCTTACCCCAACATGAAAAATGGAAGACCATCCGGTCCCTTCTCTGCTTGCAGCCACCCCCTTTCCCCCTCCCCCAATTCCATGTTTAAGTCTCACTTCCTGAGTGGATCTGCCAAAAACAACCAAACATGCGATTTGCCACTGGAATGGTTTTCTCAAAAAGCTTAAAGTCCAGAAAATGATAACGTCCCTGCAAATACCAACCAACAATGGTTTCAAAGTGGCGCGATTTATGGATTTCGTCCATCCACAGTATGATGGGGTTCCCGCAGGTCTCACGCTAGGGATAAGCCCCGAGTGATCCCACAACCCTGCTCAAAACAGATTCCTTTGAACCCACCAAACAAGGCTGGAATTAGAACCCCAGCAAACAAAATCTTGTTTGCCTGGTTAGTGGAAAGCAAAGGGAACCCCCAAAAAGCACAAAAAAGCAAAAAGGGAAGCTACTTCTGGGGAAGACACGGGGGTAGCGAAGCTTCGACTCAAGACCTGGAGCACCTCCCCCACCTACCGCACTTGTCTCGACTCGACTCCTGGGTCCACGGGCTGTGGGAAATGGAGTCTACCCTTGATGACTTGGGCGCCGGGAATATTGATCAACTCGCCATATGAGTCCTAATCAAACCCTATCAGAAATGTTCTACCCAGAACCATGCTTCAAGAATGAAGGAGGGTATCCGTATCTATTTGTGGCAAGGGGATTTTCAGTTGCTAGCCTTCTACTCGAATCCGTTTTGAGGCCGCGGCCTAGGGGATCCCCACCTAGCGCACGCAGCCCTCGGACTCCTGAATGGAGGCGTCCGGCGGCTCCAGCAGCCAGAACTTGTCCTCGGTTGCTTTCTGCGAAGCCCTGCTAAAAGTTTTCAACCTTTAGTGGTTTGATGCAAAACCCTAAAAAGTTCTAGTTTAACTTTTAGTGGTTTAGTAGTGTAATTGTTCGTCGATTTTTTGGTGGTTTCGATGTTTAGTTGGCAGCCAGTTAAAGTGCAAAATGAGTTTTCCAAGCAAAAGTTGAAGTTAATGAGCTTGGCAAAAAGTTTGCTTGGAAGTTATAAGGTAAAAGTGCAAAACGCATTAACATTCAAGCAAACTGCGCCAAAGTCTCGGTGCCGTCCCGCGCCAGGCCGCAGACCTGCTGCGGTGCAGTGGGTGCGACCCCAGCCGCCGGTGGGCTGCAGGCGGGGGAGGCGCAAAGGGCCGTGGTGCCTGGGCTGCCGTGCGCTGCCGGGTTCTGAGCTCAGGCACCCACTGGAACTCGGTTACAAAATCTGCTTCCCAGCGAAGCTGAGGGTAAACAGGTTCTTGGAAGGAAACAATACAAACCTCGGTTGCTTTCTGCGAAGCCCTGCTAAGAGTTCAACTTTTAGTGGTTTAATTCGGAAAACCCATTAGTCTAAAAGCTCAACTTTTAGTGGTTTAATTCGGAAAACCCATTAGTTGGCAAAGAGTTAAAGTCCTAACATCCACACAAAATTCAACAAAGCGAAGGTGCGGGTACTGCCATACAAGCTTCCAGCTTGTGGAGCCTCCCTAAGGTTGTTGGCCCTGTTACCCAGGCAGCCCTTGACATGGGTATTTGAGTTTGAGGGAAACCCTTCAAACAAACGGGAGGACATCCTCACTGGAGGTCTGGGTAGTATTGACCCCCAAAGCTAAGCCTATGTTTTATTCATACGTAAGGGGTGTCCCCTTGTAGTCGGACATGAAAACTAGTGGAGGGAGCACCCCCTATTTATGGGACGGGTTCTACATGGGACGGGTTCTACTTAGATCTGGGGCCAAGATGAGCTACCCCATCCCCATGGCACAATGAGTTTTACCAGGGACCCATTTCCCTAAACACGCCTTCAGGCTGGCGGATTCGAACCCCGGGGGATGGAGCGTGCAGCCGAGGCGCCGGAATCCACGGGCTGTTGGTACGGCACGCAGCGTTGAAACACCGGGAAGGAGGGCTGCAGCACAAGCCAGCTGGCTGCCCGAGCGGAAGTGCCAGAGTCTGGCAGACGTTCCGGGGAGTGGAAAAGGCGGGCATTTTGGTGCCAAAACAACCGGGTCCACAAAGGGAAGTGGAGGAAACCCTACCAACTGGTTTGAAACATGGCCAGCCCGGTGGAGTGGAAAAGGCGGGCCATCTTTGGTCAAAAACCAACCCGGTCAATGGTGGTGTCCACTCAAAGTGCCACTTTTGGAGGATCCAACAAGGGAAATGGCTCGGAAGCCCATTTCCAATTGGTTTGAAACATGACCCGCCCGGTGTTTCGACCATCTCCTTTTGGCTTCCAGGTGACCAACGGAAACTTGTTGAACCCCATTTCGCCAGCCTGGCACCGACTGGCCGACCTTCGGGCAGGAATCCACGCAGACGCCGTAGTGGCGCCTGCGAGCGCAGGTCCCCATGAAAATGGGAGCCTAGTCGAGGGGGCCGTTTCCGTTCAACAGGTTCCAGCAACAGAAACCCGTGTACCTTGAATCTAGGGGCAAGGTCCGAACAGGGCCCTGACTTGAAATCTGCCCAAGTCCCCTTCTGCGAGTCACGATGGCACTGAGCCCGCAACTTGCAACGACTCTGAGTACCACGCTGAAACCCGTGTTTTCTTTAGAGTCGCTTTAGAGGGTGCGATTCGGAGTGATTTTGCAGACATGCTCCATGCAAAACAACATGACTCACATCTAAAGTGGAAGGCACCGAAGCCTCTTACCGTTGCTCAACGCAAATTCGAGAACCCCTCTGCAATGTGACCACTTGGGACCAAAAGGGACGTAGAAGCGCAACTTCTGGGCCTCCCTTCAGAGATCGAAGTCAGTTTCCCCAAAAGTGGGGCCCTCGTTCAATTGGCTTTGAAAGGGGGGCAGCTCACAACGAGCTGATGGCTTCTAGGAATGTAGGGACGGTTGTGAAGGGGCTCTATGAAAAAGCTTCGGGGATTGCAGTTGTGGTTAAGGGGGAACCCGAAAATGCACCACAAGGAGGTGGCAAAACTGCTCACTCGATCAAAGAGCCTTGAAATATCAAAGGTTTAACCTTTGGGAACCTTGCCCACACCCGCGGATCAAACCAGGAAAACCCGAAGGTGACAAAATAGGTCGATGCGCTTTGGGCAAGTGAGACTGGCTCAATTGGGATCACGGCATTCTTATTTTTTTGGGGGGGATTCAACAGAGGTCGCGAGCTTGGGGGCTTTTGCTCCCCAAACTTTTGGGGTCCTGGAGTCAGAAACTGGGCTCGACTCAGAACCTATGTGTCGAGTGACTGCTCTATCCGAAACGCCGGGAAGAAGAAACTGCGCTGTCCAACCTGCACCGCCTGCCAAAAGTACATGACTTGTGGGTGAAACGGACACCCAAGCACCAAACCACCAAAACTCGGTTGCTTTCTGCGAAGCCCTGCTAAAAGTTTTTAACTTTTAGCGGTTTAGTTCGGAAAACCCATTAGATCAAAAAATTATTCAGTCCTAACAGCCCTTCCTGGAGTCTCCTTCTGACCCTTTAAAAATGGTGGGTCCTTACCCAACATGAAGGGGTGACCCCTGTTTCTCGGGGTCAGCAGGAGACTCCCACGGTGGGCAAAACCCCAGGAACCGGATCGGCGCAAGCTTCGCCTTTCGAATCCCTCGCTTCAGGCGAGGCCATTCCGAGTAACTCGGTGCGGGAACGAGATGGAACGAGCCTCCGCACGCCTCAACTCTCCCTGGTTTCCTACAGGATCCGATTCAAACGGTCGACTTCGAATTTGCCCAGGTGGTATCCCCAGCCCCGGACCTGGAACCCAAGCTCTGAAAGCAAACCCACGCCTCGCCTCTCCGGGCATGTGGCGTTCAGCTGGGAAACAAAATTGATTGAAACTCCCAGCTGAGAACCAGCAAGCTGAAAAAACAAGCTGAACCACCGGACAATTCCCTACAGAGACATGTCCTACTGAGAACCAGCAAGCTAGCAAACCAGTCAAAACAAGTATTTGCAACCCACTGGGTGTCTGGTTCCTGCAACTGGCGCCAGGTGTGGGTCAAGAATAGGTACCCAAAATGGCTTGCCCTGGCAAATGGAAACATGGCCATATCCTGGTGGTTTTATTTTGACCCAGAGGGCCCAAGAACACCGCGCCTCAAGGTAGGGTCCTTCTTGAAGTCAGTCTCCAGGTCTGGGTAGAAGGCCTAAGTGCGGACGTTTTGCTCGCTGACTTCAAGGTCACCCGGCTGAACGGGGAAACCCACAGGGAAGACCGGCCACTGAGCTCACGGGATGTGTTGTCAAATGGCAAATGTGAAGGGACACATGGCCCCAAAACGAGAAATTCGCTTGGTCTGCAAAATCATCTCAACCCCGGACTCGCCAACCTGCAGATATTTCCTCTGAAATGGGGCTCCCTCTCAATCAACCAGGGGCGTATTCAAGATCAAGGAAACCACACACACACACATGGCGGTGCACATTTAACCTATCAGTGTTAGTGCCTTTGTTATCACAGAAAGTCGCCCAAAAGCCATCACTTCCGAGCGAGTGGAGTAGCTAAAGCACGTAACCAAACTTCTGGTTTATCACTAAAACGGTCTTCCCAAGCAGCAAAAAATCAAGGACGATACCAGTTAAGTTGAATAAGGTTGATCGAACATGTACTGTCGGCCATTCATGCCAAATCATATTTCCACCCGGCAGGAGCCCATGTGAGGGCGTATCATTAGGGAAGCCCCGTTTTGGTTGGCAAAAGCGGGAAACCAAAAGGACAACCGAAGCCATTTCCGGGATCCCCTGATTCTCAGGCAAGCCATTTTATCACAACCATTCAGCTGCCCGTAGCCCAAACCGACACATAACAGGTGTTTTCACCAGTGAGGGGCCACTAAACATGGTAGAACCCAACAATGGGAGACCAAATGGTCGATTGATCCGGTTGCGATTCGCTTTGGTTGCGAGGAGAATGTCCTTCCAATTCTGAAGGGCTGTATCGCCCATTAAACCCCGAAGGTAGTGGTTTTGAGGGGTTGTGGAAACCATCTTAGAATGAAACCGCACCTCCATTCGCTGAAATCCCCCTGCAAAAATGAGCAAATATGTCCAGTAGTGAAAGCAATCCCCTCTAAAAACCAACAGGGGAAGGAGACTGAACAAACCTCTAAAAACCAAAAGATAGAAACAAACATCATGTCAGCAACTCACCTCCGTGGCTTGGCCAAAGAAAGTCTGAACTTCATATTTACCATCATGGCCCAACCCCCAAAAAGATCCAGTCCAGAAGCTTTGGAAGCGAATCCAAAACTGAACATTTTTTTTTAAAGAGAAAACACGTGTCCGCAAATGGAAGCAGAGTGAAACAGGGATCCTTACAAGAAAACACCTGAACATTGCAACTTGTAAATGGTGGTTTCCAACTTTAGTTTGGTGTTGAAAAAGCCATGTCTCAAATGGGCACAATGTATCTCTTAAGGAGCCCTGTGAAACCACATGCCTTTTCGGCTTGCCAGGCGGCGTATGGTCTGCTGGCCTGGCTGCCGAGGCCGCACAAGTCCCCCGCGTGGTCGCGGCCGTGGTCTATGAGCCTAGCGATGTGTCGGGACGTCGATTTCCACCCGGCGCGTCTTCAAAGGGCTTCGGTGATACAACCCAAAAGAGGGTTCCCAAAGACGAACCCCCCATATCAAGGGGGGGATTCCCTTGCATCACAGAATCCCATAACCCTGATTCAAAGGGTTGGGTTGCAGGAAATTCTACAGCAAAATAGCGCATATTTAGGGTGCTTTGGAGCAATGCCCTGTAGATTTGCCCTATGACCCAACCCTTTGATTCATTGAACCCTAAGCTAAACTTTTAGTGGGGTATATGGGTGGGTGTTTTTTTAGGGTTTCCTTTTGGGGGTTGGTCTAAACGGAAACCAGAAGGAACACCCTCCATTTTTGTTGGTGGGGTCACCTCAACAAAGACACACCCAAATGCGATAAACTCCAAAAGGCATGCCTAAGGAACCCTATGGCTGAAGAAGAAGTTGCAGAAAACTTTTGGATTTGCTCACTTCTGATTGGCCGAAACCTTGGTTGACGTTGGAAGGGGAGCAACAATTTATTTTAAGCAATTAAGTGGGGATTTCCCACTAAACCACAATAAGCAAAAATGCAACATGTTTCCCAACGACAACCATGTTTTGGGGGGTGGTGGTCCAAGGAAAAGGTGCAGAACTGCAGAACGATGTAGGGGTGTCCCCAGAAATGGGGCAATGGCGCGGTCCAGATAGGAAATAGTACCCTACCGTACACTAACTTGGACAAACCAACAAGCGGGGATAGGGAGGGAGCGGGATGGGGGGATTCCCTTGGCGCCATGTCCCATATCAACTTAGTCAAGGTGCATCAAACGGGGGAATCCTCCCGTTGGTTTCCCTGACTCACATGGAACCTGACTTTTTGGGGTCCTGGAAGACCAAGTTCCTTTAAATGAGACCTGGCGGGTCCATGTTAGTGGACAGGCAAGCAGGTTGTAAACACTTGAGTCACAATCAAAACCCGGTACTAAAATGCTTGGGATTGTCCCCTTACTAACCTTCATCTACCCAGGTTTTGATTGTGGCTCACTTGTTCAGTCCCTCAAGTGGGAAACAAAGCGCCAAACACCCGAACAGCACAAGGAGCCGTTGTTCATAGGGCGGTATCGCCTTGCCACTTCCTGACCTGATTGGCCAAGCAAAGTCTAGACTCTTTGTTTGGTCTTCCCCAAAAGTCTCAAGTCTGAGAACTCAGGGAGCAAGGCAAAAAGGTGGTTGGGCCAATCTGATGTGAGCTTCCTTTTTGGTAGCGTGATGCTCAGTGTTTTAGAGACTCCATAAGGGACTTCCGGGTTACCTGACAGGACAAGGATGCCAATTTCCCTCGGCCTGAAACTGCAGCACAAATTCTCGCCTGAGGTCGCCCTTCTCGCCGAGATAGTCCACCAGCACCGCGGTACAGGCTAAGACCGCCTGAGCCCAAAACAACTAAACGAGCTGATTAATCTCCATTTGCTCAAGTCCCCTGCAAAGAAGATGGAAACACCAAGTAGTGGTAGATTCCCTTTAAAACCAACAGGGGGAATTAACACATGTTCGTAGGCAAATGTCGAACACGAGTTGCGTTACTTCCATTTGCTTAAGTGGAACAAAAAAAACGTGTCCGGTAGTGATAGACTGCCTTTTCAACCAACAGGGGTAACAGAAAAAAAAAATAATTAAATGGAAGTTTAAAGGCTTACAAGAACCTAAATAATTCGGCTACTTGAAAGCCACATAGCTTCATGATTCTGGGAGTTAAACTACTGGTAAAGACTGAGGCCCTATATTCAATACTGATAATGGCGAAGGCGAACAGTCCAAACAGTTGCCAACAACATAGTTGGTCGCCATTTTAGGAAGAAAAACACGCTTAAGTGAGTCTGGCCTAAATAGAATCATGGGGGAGGTGCCTTAAAACCAAAGGAAGCCAGAACCATGTGAAAATAATGTGTGGATTCACCTATTGCCAAGGGTTTGTGAAGGCAACACACGACACATGAGGAATACATTTTGCACAGGTCGCTGACAAAACAATGGATCGATCTCCAGGCCGACTGGTTTTCTCTTCCTGAGCCATCGATCGGAAAAGCCATTTGGGTGTCTTTTTGTTGAGGGTGCCCTCTTGGGGTTCATGCAGCTGCAAACCAAAAGGAAACACCCCTTTGTGGAGGGTTCCCCGATTTTGAGACAACTTAGTTTGTGTGCGTCTCAAAATAGGGGAAGCTCCAAGATGTTGGTTTTCTGCTTGAGTTCCCTTTGAACAAACCCCAAAAGGGTGCCCGAAGGGTGCCCTCAAAAAAAGACACGCACGTTCTCACTTGCCCACAAAAAAGGGAAATGGTGTGATCACCTGAGTCACAATCAAAACCTGGTACAAAAATGGTGAACCCAGAACTATGTAAAGAATTAGAAAGACGGAATTCCGCAACTATTTCCGGCTGGGACTGCCCCTTACTAACCTTCATCTAGCCAGGTTTTGATTGTGGCTCACCTGTTGGAACCAAAAGACTCAACCCTGCGAAGCCGAAGAAGTGGAAACCAAGGGGCTGAGTCTTCAGGTCGATCCGCTTGGTTGCAACTGAGTTTACTCGTTTACCGCGGTTTGGTGCGTGTGTGCGTTTGGTCTTGCAACATCATCTCTACTCTTTGTTTACGGTAGCGAAAAACTGACTGTGTTTTTTGCAGACCAGAAAAATGAGAACAGAACCAAACACTTAAATAAAAAAAAAGATCCAAGAACAGTGAAGACATGGTCATTGACTGTTCCCTGGCCAACCCAAACAAATGCGCCTTGCTTCGCTCCCCAAAACCCGGCCCCTTCCTACGATCAGCGCCAAGATACCAGGAAGACTAACCCCAAAGACTAACACCCCATCAGGGGGGGGGAGATTCCCGAAGATATTCGCAGTGGTTGGATAAACCCCTTCATGCCGATCTGTCCTCCAGTAGAGGTTAGAATAAGGGTGCCAACTTTTTGCCGTGGGCTATCTTAGGGAGAACTCCCAACCAAAAAAGGGTTCCTTAAAACAAATGCGCCTAGCTGGGGGACCAAGAAAAGCTCCCCGCAACCCGGGGGCCCCCCTACGACTGCCGGGGCGCCAGGAAGAGGATGCAGCAGGGCACATCCGTGCAGCGCCGGTGGAGCCGAGGCCCCGGATTCGTGCGGATGCGCAGGGGCTCCTGGCGCGAAACGCATCCCTACCGAGGAAACACAGGGAACATAGGGATGTCCCTTTGGTAAGCCGATTTGGGTATTGACCCATGGCCAATTCAGCAAATGGAAGACCTACTTCCAGGGTTTCTTCAACAGGGATCCTTACAAGAAAACACCTGAACATTGCAACTTGTAAATGGTGGTTTCCAACTTTGTTTTGGGGTTGAAAAAGCCATCCATGTTTCAAATGGTTGCAAAATGGAGATCTTTTAAGGAGCCCTGGTAAACTAGATGGGTTTCCCTGGCACATGGGGCATGAAGCCAATCTAAACCAATAAAACCCATCTGGTCAAACCAATTGGCCATGGGTCAAAATCCAAGTCTTGTACCCCCAGTGAACATCGTTCTAGAATGGTGGAAACATGGACCAAAACCTGTGTAACCCCTCCTGTTTAATTTTGAGCCACAGCCAAATGGGTGAGCCTATCCCAAAATGGGATCCCATTGGTTTCAACCAGCCCAATGGATTCTTGGGCCGGTCGCTTCCCTCATTCAGTTTCCCCCTCATTGGTGGCTTGGAGCCTGGCTGTTTGGTGGTTTGGGTGAGGGGTTTTCCATGTTTGCCCTCCACAAGAGCCGGGGGTTCAAATCCAAATCCAAACCACCAATCCAAACCACCAACTAAGAGGTACCGGAGAAAACGCTCAAAACAACACAATAGTCCGAGAGCCACGAGAAAAAACAAAACACACGCACACACACACACACAAAAAAACAACAACATGTTTTTCTACTGGCAGCTGTTGTCTTCAGACCCGCCATCAAGCAAAAAAGGTGTTGCTTAAACCCACCCAACAAGGGGCATGCGGGTCTGTGCCCAGATTTAGGAACCGAACACGGCAAAGATTTGTGTGTTGCCCCTGTTGACTGGAACCTACCAAAAGCCCAAAAGGGTACTCACAAAACGATCTTCCCGAAAGTGTCAAGCCTTATGCCACCCTTTCTCCCACATCACACTTGCGGCACTTGCGGGGACTGGAAGATTGATTTCTTCAAGGGACCCCGCTGTCAGGTGCCATGGCTGTTTGTGGGAGGGAGGGTATCTCCGTTTAACTTCCATAAGGAAAAGGTCGCCCTCTGCTGACCCCTAGGGTTCAACCCCCAGACTGGCAAGGTCCCGATTTAGATGCAAGTTTTTAGGTAAACCATTGCACCCATATATATATATATATATATGTCGTGGCCAATGGCCAATGGGAATCAGCCGAAGACCGAAAGGTTATTGAGTATTGAGTGCTGAATAGCCCATGTTAATTTCCCCAGCAGGGAAGCCCACAAAGGATGGGTGATTTCTGATTGAACAAATTGGCGCACAGAAAAAAACATGATACTTGTACTATTTGTATTTGTATGGTGTTAGCTTTATTTTGCCGTGACCAAAACACAAAAAAACAACACGCACATTTCTGGCATTTGGCCGTACTCCCAGCTAAAACCTTCAAGGCAAAAACAATCTGAAGCCAAAAGCAATCTACAAACATTCTGAACAATGCACTTTCGGTAGGTTTTGGGAGCGCAGCTCTATACATATATATATATGTATTTGTATGTATATATATATATATCAAAATGCTGCCCCAGCCTCCCCATGGTCTGATGAAGATCCCAAGCCACAACAGATCTATGGCTCGCCAATCAAAACCAGGTGCTGAAGGGGTCTGTCTACTCAAAATTATGCCCTTCACCATTCTACCCAGGTGTTGACCATGGCTGGATGTAAACTACGTAACAGTCTAGCACTTCAAGAATAACATATACAGAAAAAACAGACACACATATTTATGTGAGCCTTTTTTATTATTATTCTGGGGTACCCTGATAAACCTTTTGGCGCATTGGGTACTGACAAACATATAGAAATATAGATCTTCAGATATCTTCAGATTCTCGTCCAAGTTTAGCCTACCCTTAGCATACAAAACAGAGACCCCAATCGAAAGGCTCGCAAGAAGGAGAGAAGTACCGCCCTTGGTACCCGTTGACCACTAACATGACCTTCCCAAATCACAGGGTCCGGAGTCTTCGGGGTTCCATGCATGTCCCGCAAGAATACCTCACCCCAAGTTTGGCCTTCTGCCATCTCCGCAAAAGGGCGGAGGCTTAGTGGCCTCGATAAGCCACGTGAATCCAAGACCTCCCCAGGCACCCCCTAAAGGATGAGGCGCCTTGGCCAGCCGGGGGCCAACCAGGAAACGAGGAAAGGTCACAAAACATAGCCATCCAATTCAAAACCGATGGCCAGTTGGGTCTGCTTTTTTTTCCCGGTGCTGAACCCTTTTGGGGCCTGATTTAAAGGGAAACCAAAAGGACACCAACCATTTGCTGGGGTCCCTACAAAAAGACACAACCATTTATCACATAAATAAGGCCCCTGCGCAAAAAAGCACTTTGTTTTCAACCCGAAAGGGTTCCCACCACTCCTCGTGCTCGTCGTTGCTGTAGCCACAGCACCCGCAGCAAGTACCCATGCCGAGTAAGTTGCTTTTGAGCACGAGACAAAATATGACCAACTGGCTCGTTTGACGCCCTTTCCAGTAGCAAAACCCAGATTTCCAAGTTGAGATAGTATATAAATTATTGAGGGTTCCGTTAATGGAACGTGTGCGCGTGGTGCTTTTGGTCCATTAGCAAAACTCCTCCAAAGTCCGGCATGGAATTGGTGTCTTCTGTGCTTGCGTGCTGGGCTAGCAGTAGGCTTGACCACGCAAAAGGGTTTCTGACCCCACTTCGGATAGCTTGTCCGTACAAGCTCGAATCAACAATCTCCTGGCCTGCCATCACCTTGCAGCAAGCCGAAATGGCCAAGGACATGGGCAGCTGCATTGGAGCTCCCTTGTTGATTCCAAGGGGAGCTGAATTATCTGCTGAGTGGACTGGCAAAAGGGCTTGGGCCAATGAAATACGGGTGCTTGGGACAGTTGGTTTGCTTTGGGCTTCCTTCTCCAAAACGGATGGCCCATTTTGAGGCAGCCCCATATTGGAATGTCCCCCTGGGCTTAAGAATGTCTTTTTCGACGGCCTCAACCCGCGGGAAAGGAAGGAACAATTGCTGGAGCCAATTTGCATTGAGCCCAGACAAATACGTTTGCCAACTCAACATGGAAACACAGGTCGGGGTCCCCAACCTGCATAGACACCAATGTCATGCACAACTAAGTCCTCCAGTAGAGAGGACTTAAAATAAGGGTACCCTTTCTTCTGTAGTCTATTTTAGTAGGGGAACCCTCCCTCAAAAAAGACTAAAAGGGATATACTGGGGGATCTAGACAAGGTATCCCCTAAAGCTCTACTACTTCTCTGGATCTTCTCCCTTAAGGGTCCCCATCACCAAGGCGCAAAAGACATGCTAACATGGGACTTGGCAGCTCGATGCACGCTTTTGGTCTCCAGGGCAGAATTGTTTGCATTTAGGGCTGGGGTTGTAGGGAAGGGGCAACCTCACCCATTTCACAGAATGCACAGGGGGATCACAATACTGTGGATTCGTGGATGGACGAAAATCATTTCGCACCAAATTGAAACCATGGTTGAAGCCATACCGTTTGTTGGTATTACGTTGGGGAATCAAGTCATAAAGCAAACTGTTCTAAACGGTAATCGAGAAGCGGGTTTCGCAACCACTCACAGAAGTACTGCCCAAAACTTGCCATTCTCGGTGCGCGCTGCGGCGTTCCCTGCCTAATCACCGAGTGGTACCGCGCAGGGATCATGTGATTCCTGGAGCAGAGCCTCAGGCTTGGGTCGGTAAGCAGGGAATGAGCGAGGGAATGAACCGCTATAAACCATCCAACTGGTGGTTCATTCCCAAACCTATGGGTCATTCCCTACCGAGCAGCTCACACAAATGCCAGACAGCTCTGTATTTCAAGGGTCCCATGCCAAAAGCAGATGCGTTTGCTCGAGGTTTCCGAATCTCCCCTAAAATCAATAGCTTCCAGGGGATTCCACCCTTCCCAAAAGAACGTCATGCCAAAATGGCAACCAATTGGTGATGCGAAAGGAAACCAACAAACAAAAGGAACAAAAAAGCCTGCTGATTTTCAGGTGGAACCCCCACAGCATGCACCTTTGGAAGCTCCTGAGAAAGGACTTGTCAGTAGCCCTTGCGCACTTCAAAGATGGTGATCGAAGTTGCTGGCTAGTGCAATACCTAAAAGGTGTGGACATGAAAGGCCACAGAATTCAAACACTAAGTGGGTGAACGGAGGGGAAGCACACACAATTGAAGCCAAGCGGTCCGCCTAATGTTGAGACACACCAATTTCCAAACACGGCAACAGAACCTGGGCGAGTGAGAAAGGGTTAGCACTGCCTTTTCTAGGGGTACCTTCCCCATTCGTTCCACTTATTCTCCTTTCTACAAAACCTCCTGAAACCCAGGGAAACGGATCCGGCTTTTGGAAAGAACGATGGTTGAAAAGAATGGAATTGGAATCACGCCCTAGAACTTTAAACTAATCAGGTTTCTTGGAGTGCCCCTGAAAAGCTGAAGCTTCCTGCTCCAACACGGGACCTTCGGCCCGAAAGGTGTTGCTGGACTCGGAAAACCGCCCGCCCCTTGCGTGGATTGGGCGTGCATCGGCCAGAAACCAATAGATCACGGGCCGGCAAGGCCCAAGGTCCAAGAGCGCCCAGTGCCTTCCTTTCCGCCCCCTGGACAAAATTAGAACATGTGTCCAGCAGTGAAACTGATTCCCTTTAAAACCAACAAGGAAATTAAATCAACACATACCCTTGGTCTTCCAAGGGCCCGCAAAAATAGGGCCCTTCTTGATTTTGCTCTTGGTTGAAAAAGGAAAATCAGCCAAAGGCCTGCTTTTTCAGGGTCCTGGAAGATTAAGGTACTCATTTTAGCAAACAGTTGACCTCTGGCAGCGCAAAGCCAACGAAAGCGCAACCCAGGCCCAGGGCGTGTTCTGGAAAAGGTCTCGAAGCACCTGCCAAGGTTTGCCCTTTTGTCAGGCGGGTTGCATCCCCAAAAATGAAGACTTGGCGCCATTCACAGAGGCCAATTGGGGGAGCTTCCGGCTGTTCGTCTGGAGTCTATGCCTTCGGTCTAGGTCCTCCAGTAGAGAGGTTAGAATAAGGGTACCAACTTTTTTCTGTAGTCTATTTTGGTAGGGGAAGCCTCCCCCCTAGGGGTATACATTCCTCCTTCCAAGCTGGGGATGTTTCGTGGACGTCATTTACTCACACCGTACGGATCCAGGAAAATAGCCAAAAAGCGGCAAACGAAAAGGTCCAAAAGCTTGGCATCGGGCAAGTGAGTTTAGGTGTGCCCCATTCAAACTCGTAGCCCAATTTGACTGACTCTCGGTGCTCGCAGCTGTGTCCGAATGCCAGCTCTCACCCGAAACCCAGTGACGCTGGGTTCTAGCAACTTGCTTGACAAATGCTCTGGTAAACCTGCACCACCTAAGAAACCCTGGAATGATTCGATTCCCTTGTAAATACCAAGCAACGGTATGGTTTCAACCATGGATTCATTGCGTGCCGCGTTTCATGGATTTCTCAACCCACAGCATGAGTCCCTCTAAACAAGGAAGTCGAACCCCTTACCAAACTGACGTTTTGCGCTGCCGGGAGCCCAGCCACTTGCCTATGGTAGGCTCCTGGTTTGGCGTCTGGGGCCTATTGTAGAAACGCACCTTTGAACTAGACATGCTTATGCTTACTTTCCCGGTTTGGACCTGGTAAAAAGGTGAAGCTTTTGGAACCTGACTATATGGACCATATTCGGGAAGCCAAAAGGTTAAAAGGTCGGTTTTGGGCAAGTGAGTACGCCACTACTGGGATCATACATTCTTTCGAGTTTCCCTTCAAAGGGTCGGACTGATAGGGGCAAGGGGGATAGGGGACAACGTCCACATATGGTTTGGAAAGCAAACAAGCTCCCGCATCTTTGGGGTTCCATTTTATGTTGTATATAGTGTAGCACTGCACCCAGGCCGCGCTGTTGCGGGGGAGCAAGCGCCCCCCTGCACCCGTGCCTCCCCGCTGAGAGTTCCGGGTCTGAGCTGGGCCGGCGCCGAGTGAAAGTCCGGCGCCTCGCCGCTTCGATCGATGTCCGCGAAGCCGCGATCGCTGAAACGCCCCCCAGCTGACGCTCTTGCCCCAGGGGCCTGCAAAACCACTAAACACAATAAGCAAAAGTGTAAAATGTTTCCCAACAACAACCATGACAATGGGAAGTCCTGCTCGTTTTGTTGGCTCCATCATATCAAGCCCAAGCCTACTTTGGGGCGCAAGAGCGGAAGTAAACCAACTTGGCGCTTCTTTGGGGCGGCCGTCGGGGCTCAAATGCGTCCCTGCAAAAACATACCTCCGGCGTGAAGCAAACGCTCAATGAAGGGCGCCGAAAAAAGGGGAACACAAGGCGAAAACAGAAAGACAAAAAAAAGAGCACGCGGAGGGGCCCGCCCCATTTGCCCTCTACAAAGGCCAGGGGTCAAATCCCCAACCATGCACTCCAAACCAAGCTCAGGGATTTTCGGACAACCTCAGGGAGTGACTTATGTCTTTAAGCCCGGCCCGCGGGTTTTTCCGCCCCCCTCCCCGCCAGCACGTGGAAGGAGGCCGCCGCGAGCTTCTGTGCCACTGGCGTCCACTCTTCCCGCACCGACCTCGGATGGATCGGTGGCGCCCGAAACGTCGTCGAAACGGCCATGGAGCGGAAGGCGGAGCTCGTGACCCATGGGCGGAAGGCTTTTTCTCGGTGGCGAAATCTGCGAAGCCCTGCTCAAAGTGACTAACTTTTAGTGGTTCAATGGAAAACCCGTCAGTTGGCAAGAAGTTAAAAGCCTAACATCCAAGCAAAATGCACCAAAGTAAAGGTGGAGGTCCATGGGGCAAGGGCCATACTCAGTGGAATTCGGTTGTGAACTGAGCTAGCGTTCCTCACTTCCTGCGTGGATTGGGCGGAAAAAACAAGTAACCGAACTTGCTACCCTCCCACCAGCTAACATGGAAGTGCACAGACCCCTTGAAAAAGACTACTGTCCTCTTGGTTAGTTGGCCTTTTTGCACAAACCCATGTTAGTTGGTGGGAGGGGTATTGGTGGTTTTGATTGGTGGTTTGGTGATTAGGACTGGCTTCCCATTTGCCATCCACAAGAACAAGGTCAAATCCCCAAAACAACCAACAAATTGGTCCAAACCCAGAAAGGCGAAAAAACCGTCCGAAACGGAACTCGGGGCATGGCGAAACCCTCGCGGGGAAAATGGCACTGAAGTAGCTGAATGCAAAAACCGCCAGTGGGTTTTGTGGCGGTCAAGTATAACGGATTATGTCATGCAATGCTATCCCATGTTTGTTGGGGGGGAAGCATTCTAAAGCCACACCTGATGCGTATTTTGGAGAAAGTGAGACTACCGTCCGGCCGTTGCTCAAGACATGGTACCCAAAATGACACCTCGGTATATTGGAACAAAGGCTAAAACCTGCGGTTTGCCCCAGCTGTTGAATTTTGTGCCACACCCATCTGCAGGAAGGATCCCCTTATA